TCTCCAGACCCCTGAAATGAAAGTGCACACATTGTTCACATTCTAACCTTTGGGGGCTTTGAGGACGTACTAGTACGTCATTCTACGACCAGGGTTTTAGACGACTAGTATGGCCTAATAACCTTCTAGCGCCCCTGCAAATTTAGTGAGAGAATAGGCTGTAGACGACTACATATGAAAGAATGGGTCTGTGTGGTCCATCTGCGCTAGTACTAAAAAAATCCCGCAGCATCGACAGTGCGTAATGAGACTAAAAAAAACTTGAACCAGTGTTTTGGGATTAAAACAGCAACATTGCAATGTATTCGTATGCTCTCTTAATTGTTGTATTCTAGTTTTCTTGGGTCACAATTTTAATAGATGGCAAGACATATTACAGAAATTGAGATGATTTTTGAACTGGTCTTTACAACAAATGAAAAAGTAACCTTTAATATTGAGCTCAAAAGTAGCAAGAAAAATGTTTGATCATCTTACCACACATCTTGCATACAAGTAAACTAAACTCATGCCAAGCATTCCCAATACACATCAACTAGTGCAAGCTCTAATATCTTTAGCGAAGTGCGCTGATATTATTTATACAATTTCTACACTCCAATGCAGATAGTCTGCGTAAACAGTAAAAATCTTCATCTTTTTTGTAAGAATAAAAATTCAAAGTGGAAAGCCAAAGAAAATACAAGATGGGGCCTGGGAAGCTAGACTAACGAGAACAGAGAACCTGTTATTTTAGTCCAGGAATGTCTTTCTTGTTTATTCATGACCCTATTCCGGAAAGTGCTACTCTTCTGCGGACTCTTATATATGTTGTGTGAAATTGGACAAAATTTGCGTAAATTCTGAACCAATTATTGATATTGAAATCGGTAAATGGGTGGTTTCTTGTAGCTCATGTCGATAGAAAAATGGGAGCTTCTAACTGCAAAAGTGGCAGGTTTATGATTTACGTTGAATAGTACACTGGAACTAAGCCCGAAAATAGGGCTCTAAATAGTGGGCAAAATCGCCAATGCGTAAACGACCGAGAACTGCTAATCTTCGCGAGAGCATAATTCCATAAGTTTTCGCACCAAATTCATACTTTTCTCTGGTGCCCTTATCATCGCAGACGAAAGATCTCTATCCTTTTATAAGATATATTTTTTTTTTTTTCTTTTAAATTGTTGCCGACGCCTGAGATACATCTATCGAGTTGCGACGAGGAGACCTTGAGCGACTCCCTACAAGGGTTAACAAAAAAAATCTGAAACAAATAGAGAAATTTTCTGGAGGTATTTTTTGTAACGTCAATCCAACGAAAATTTGATGGAAAAACTTGTGAATTTCACAAGTGCAAAGTTAGCAGTAGGAGCACATCTTACACATCAACGATTTTGGCTGAATACGAGTCATATTTGAGTCACAAAATATCCATTGATTAAATTTATCACAATTCTTAGCTATTTATCAGTATATGCCTTTCGTTCTGTTGTTTGAGCACCAATCAGCAATCACCCCATTCAACTATCTGAGACTATCCAATATAAAGAGCACAAAAGTATGTACATTACGGCCCAATTTGTTATGCAAAATTAAAACACAAAATTCCCTTATCAAATAAACAGTTCAAAATAACTCACTGAGGTATTACAGACACTAAAACATTTCCTCTGTTCATTTATCATCAGACCCTGGGCCTCTCCCTTATTACACTTACTTTCATTTTGGATTTCATAATCAGTACAACAGTAGAAAAGTTTTACTCTAATATCTTGGATAAACTAAAATTATAGTTGGAAGCCTAATAGGAAACCCCATACGCGCTACTGGCTCCTGAAACCAACCAAACTCGTGGACGGGCTATTATAGGACATAGTATGCTTCCATCTCTCTTCAAATGATAACAAGAAAATCTGACAAAAACCATCAAATCATCATAGAAAACACCACTCAAAATTGCCATATAAATCCAAAAATACAGTCAAAAACTTTTGCTTTTCCCATTATCATTGCATCACTACAAACCCTTACAGCCTCTCCTTACTTACAACGGAGTTCCCGTTCACTAAGCAACCACATCGGTGAAAGAATTCGTCGTACAGTGAGGAGCACATGTACTATAATCGGTAGTGGGTTTTGGTGGTCAACCATCTTTGCATGTTGTTTCAAATGTCACCTTTGCACTGTTTATAACATATTCTCTCAGTATTTTTAATATGTTTATTACTATGTAAGTGCTCTGGGCGAAGGGGGGAGGGGGGGGGGGCGTATATTTCTGTCATAATAAACAGATATGAGAGGAACAATTAGTCGCTGATACACATTTTTTAGGTATGGCTAATACCTGGTTAAGAGGCCCATCGTTATCCAAGGCATAGGTACACGGTACACGAGTCAGTCGTTACGTTGAGAGAGAGCGTATTTCATCCTAGGCCAAAATTTTACTATACTTTACAGCTTACAGAGTAGCTGAACACATGACGAAGAACAACTAGAGACCCCCATGGCCCATCCAGTGCCTTATTTCCACATAGAGCAGCTCTGAGATTACTATTAGGGGATTACAGTGATCAGATACTACCATTGTGAGTTCATGGGTTGGGTCTAACCAACCAACCCAATCCAAAACACCAACTCTCTACTCTTTCTCTCTTTTCCCTTTCTCTTCTCTCTCTCATCCTTATATCCTCCACTCTCTCTTCACTCGAACTCTTCTCGATCTCTCCATCTCTTTCTCCTCCATCGTCTCCTCTCCTCATCTCTCTTCTCTCTACTCTCTCCCTCTCCTCTCCTCTCTCCATCTCACCGTCTCTTTCTCACTTTTTCTCTCTCTTCCCTAACTCATCTCTCCTAAATCCTTTTCTTCTTCCTCTCATTCTCTCTCTCTCTTTCTCATCTCTCTCTCTTTCCACTCTTTCTCTCTCTTTCTCGTCTCTCCACTCTCCCGTCCATCGTCCTGCCTCTCAATCACTCTCTTACAGATCTCTCAAATGCGTCTGACCTGCATCACTTCCTCCTACAAACCCATATCCTCTCCTCATCTCAATCCAATCTTTCTCTCATCCTCTTCGTTCTCTTCAGTCATCGTCTCTCTCCTCGCTCCATTTCACGATGTCTGTTACACTCTTCTGCTACTACCTCCCTCCTCTATCCACTCATCTATCCACAGGTGTGCAATTTCATCTCTCTCTCTCCTCTCTCTCTCTCCTGTCGTACTTCTCTCTTCTCTCTCTTTCTTTTTTTTTAATTTTCTTTTTTTCTTTTTACACAGGTTTGGAACAAGCTCTATGGATCCCTAGCTTATTGACAGCTATTCACAGTTTAGAGGATTCCTAACTTTACATGGCACAGCTAGAGCGTACCTATCATCACTCATTTGAAAGCATTTTTATTGTATGAGACATACCAAGTAGGGGAACAGGATTGAAGTTGGAGGCCATCTGTGGGCCCAGCATTTCATTTGATGGAGCAAACTGACGCTTATTCGCTGACGCATCATTATGCTCGATCGAAATGTGTACCATACCGAGTCACACCATGGGTATGATGATCTCGCTCAGATGGAAGTGATTTTCTGGAAAGGGTACAGCCAAGCTGACGCGTTGCTGCTTTCATGCCCCGTCTTGTGGCCAAAAAATCCTCTGTTTTCTCGCACGCTGTCACTCTTGTGAGACAGTGGATCCAAGTGGTGGTATATAGAGACATATATAATGTCTTCTGTCTCTGTCAACCTCTCTCTCTCTCTACTCCACTGTCTCGCTCTCTTTCTCCTCTCTCATCTCTGTCTCCTCATCTCTCCTTCCTCGCCCTCTCCCCTCTCTCTCTCTCGCTCTCGCTCTGTCTCCCCCTTCCTCCTCTCTCACTCTCTGTTTTGTTTCCTCCTCTCTCTCTGTCTCCTCTCTCTCTCTCTGTCTCTCTCGACTCTCTCTGTCATCCCGTCCGACTTCCTCTCTTCTCCTCTCATCACTCCCTCTCTCTCATCTCTCGGTCTCTCTCTTTCTGTCTTCCTCTCTCATCTTTCTGTCACCTCTCTCCTCTCTGTCTGATCCTCTCTCTCCTCTGTCTCCTCTTCTGTCTCCTCATCTGTCTCCTCTCTCTCTCTCCTCTCATCTCTCTCCTCCTCTCTTCTCTCTCCTCGTCTCTCTCTCCTCTCCTCTCATCTTCTCTCTCTGTCTCCTCTCTCTCTCTCTTCTTCTCTCTGTCTCCTCACTCTTCTGTCTCCTCTCTCTTGTCTGTCTCCTCTCTCTTTGTCTGTCTCCTTCTCTCACTGTCTGTCTCCTCTCATCACTGTCTGTCTCCTCTCTCTCTCTGATTCTGTCTCCGCTCTCTCTCTGTCTGTCTCCTCTCTCTCGTCTCCTCTCTCTGTCTCTCTCCCTCTCTCTCTCTTCCCTCTCTCTTCTCTCTCCTCTCCATCCCTCTCCCTCTACCCTCCATCTCTGCTCACCTCTCCTCCCCCCTTTACTCTCTCCCTCTCGTCTCCCCTCTCTCTCCCCCCCTCTCTCCCCCCTCTCTCTCCCCCTCTCTCTCTCTCCCCTCTCTCATCCCCCTCTCTCTCACCATTCTCCCGTCCCCTTCTTACTCTTACTCTCCCCCTCTCATCTCCCCCCATCTCTTCTCCCCCTCATCCCTCATCTCTCCCCCCTCTCTCTCACCCCTCTCTCTCCACCCTCTCTCTCCGCCCTCTCTCTCGAAACTCTCCTCGCTGACCCTCTCCTCCCAGCCTCTCCCCTCCTCTCTCTCCCTCTCTCATCTCTCCCCCTTAGAAACACTCCATCTCTCCCCCCTCCTCATCTTCTCTCAACTTACTCCACACACTCCGCCCATTACCAGCCACCTGCTCCCCTTATTATACTATTAATGAGGGTTTACATTGATTATACCTTAATATATTAATGTTGTATTTAATCAGTAATTTTCCCTACTAGTAGAAATTTCCAGTGAATATTCAGTGGGAACTCCCACATTTTTTTTTTTATTTATATACTAAGGTTAATTAATAAATTTATCTGTTATTGCAGTAAAAAATTATTTGGGGAAATGGCATCCCAAGTTCAGATCAGGAGTCTTTCAGAAGGGAACTTTTGCTGGCAGGTAGGGTAGCAAAACATATTATCTAATGTATACTACTGCGTGCTCTGATTGTGTCTCTAATATAAACACTTTACCCGCCATTCGCGGCACATTCCTCGCTCACGCAACTTTTTCTTTTTTTCTTAACTAACATATCCAAATCTACAGTATTTCACATTAGGCATACCATTTTTTTTTTTTTTTTCTTATCTTTATTTTTTTTTACAGCACAAGTCGGAGAGGGCGAGTCCGTCTCCCATCCGAGGGCACGGTCGACTCCAAAAAAAAAGAAAATCCCCCAAAAGTGCGCAAATCTACTTATCCATCATCATTCAACACTTACACCACACTCCCGGCTACATTATCACTGTTTTGCAGAGGTGCTCAGAATACAACAGATCTAGAAGCATACACATATAAAGATACACAACAATACTCCCATCCACGCCAATCCCTACCAAAACTGCGCCTAATATCCCAAACCCTCCTCTTAAAAGTGCAGGGCATTGTACTTCCCAATTTCAGGAGTCAAGTCCGACTATATGAAATAACCGGTCTTTCCCGAATCCCTCACTAAATATTACCCTGCTACACACTCCAACAGATCGTCAGAGTACCCTAAGACCATTCATGTCTCCATTCACACCTATCTAACCACGCTCAACGGCACGCTTGTGGAAAGTTCCAAAGCCCCTTACCTCACAAACCTTGCCTTTACCCCCCTCTCTCCAAACCTTGCGAGGACGACCCCTACCCAGCACTTCCTTCACGCGCGTATAGATTTATCATGCTTCTCCTATGTCATTCTACTTTGTCCATTCTTCATCTAAATAGGACCCAACCACCTCAACAACCCCGTTCTCCTGGCCTCTGACTAATACTTTATAACTCCACAACATTCTCCTAATTTCAACACTCCGAATTTTCTGCATAATATTTTACACCTCACATTGCCCTAAACAGGACATCTCCACTGCCTCCAACCGTCTCCTCGCGCTGCATTTACCACCCATAGACTTCACACACCATATAAGAGTGTTTACTACTATACTTTTCATACATTCCCTTCTTTGGCCTCCATACATATCCGTTTCTGACTCCATGCCACATATACTCAAATAACAACGCACCACTCACTCTTTTTTCTTTCCCCTCATCAATTACTGATTAAAACCTCATCCTTCATAAATCCATATCCGCCGACACGTCAACTCGCCTAGTACTGAATACATTCACTTCTTCACATACGGACACTCCTCTTTAGGCGTCCCCAAATTTGATATCCAATTTTCTTTATCTAAATCATTTGCACACCCTCCAGATCAACTTACTCTTTCTAGGTTCATCTTTTTCGAAAACTTCATACCTTTACAGCAAACAATTCCGCAAAACTCACACCACTAAACCTTGGCAATTATTTCTATCTAAACGTATCCACATAACACAGTAATCATCAGCAAAATGTAACTGTTCAATGTCGCCATTTTGGTATTTGCATATGCTTCCCCATAATTTTTAATCCAACCCCCACACCAAACACCCTAGATTTACTTCCTTAACAACCCCATCGATAAATAAATTAAGACAACCATGGCGTGACATTACATCATTCCCGTCAAGACCTACTTTTTACTAGGGAAATAGTCTCCCTCTCTCTACCACCCTAACCTGCTCGCCTCACTATCTTCATAAAAATACTCTTTAAGCCATTTAATAACTTACAACCTATTCCATATACTTGCAACATCTGCACATATGCTTCCTCTATCCACTCCTATCAATGCCTTTTCTAAATCCATAATGCAATAAAAACTTCCCTACCTTTATCTACAAATTACTTCACATATATGCCATCAATGTAAACAACTTGATCTACACATCTCCGCTACCCAACTTCTGGAAACCTCCTTGCTCATACCCGCAATCCTATCATTCGTCTTACCTCTAATTACTTTCAATTATAACCTATAACCGTACACTTTTCCTGGTATACCTCCAGTAAGCTTATTCCTCTATAATTTTTACTAGTCTCTTTTCGCCCCTTTTCCACTTTATATAAAGGGACATAACATGCTCTCTGCCGCACATCTCTAGTACCTTCCCCTCTTTCATACATTTATTGAACAAAAGTACAACCACTCCAACACTATATCCCATCCGATCTCCCCCCTGCTTTTAACATTTCTGTCATAGATCCCATCAGTACCAGCAGCTTTTTACCCCCTTTCATTTTACGTATATGCCTCACGTACCTCCCCGCAACACTTTACATTCTGCTCTTCCCCCCTTCTCCCTCCTAAAAGATGGTATACCCCTGACCAGTGCATGAAATTCACTGCCCTCTGTTTCTTCCTTAACATTATAAATCTGTTTCGCTCAAAATATTCTCGCTCATCTACCTAATAACTCCATCTCCCACATCACTAACTCCCCTACACTGTTTTTAACTGACAAACATCCATATTTTCCCTAGGCTTTCTTAACGTTGTTTACTCACTCCAAAATTTTTTCTTATTCACATTGAAATTATCTTGACAAGTGCCTCCTCCACATCTATCATCCTGCTCTCTTTTGCACCTCTCGTCGACCACTCTCTCTTTACCTTTCTTTTTACCTCCCCATATATTCTGCCTCTTCTTATAACACTTCTGCTTTTGTAAAAACCTTCTCATAACTACCTTTTTCTCTTTATCACACCCATTACTTTCATCATCCCACCAATCACTCCTCTTTCCTCCTGCACCCACCCTCCTATAACGCAAAACTTCACAGCCACCACATTCTAATACTAGCCCTTTTTAAAAAAAACAATTGCAACCCCTTCAAACCCCCCCATTACTCATCTCTTTGCACTATCCCACCTTGTCTGCCATAGTCGCTTATATCTAGCCCGAACTTCCTCCTCCCTTGTTTATACACTTTCACCTCCCTCTTACTTGTTTGTTGGCCACCTTCCTCTTTCCATCTACTCTTTACTCCTAACTGTAGCTACAACTAAATAACTGATCCGATATATCAGTTGCCCCTCTATAAACAGGTACATCCTGGAGGCCTACCATCAACCTTTTATCCACCAAATACATATTCTAATAAACTACTTTCATTACGTACTACCATCATACCTTGTATATTTATTTATCCCTTTTCATAAAATATGTATTACTTATTACCAAATCTTCTCTTTCTACACATAGCTCAATTAAAAGGCTAAGGCTCCCTCCCCATTTACATTTACCCCTGGCACCTACCAAATTTACCTACTTACTGGTGCCCATCCATACAACATTTTTACCATCACTTTAGCATTGAAATCCCAACCCAACCTCATTACTCTCACACTTGATTCAAAACTCCCCACGCATTTCACTCAACATCTCCAAATCCTCTCTCATCCTCTACACTTCTTTCTCTCTTCTCCAGGTGCATACACGCTTATTATAACCCCACTTTTTGCACATCCAATCTTGTATTTTCCATCCACATAAATCCTTGAATTAATACATTTATAGTCCTTCTTTTCTGCCATAGCTAATCCTTTCAACATTATCTTGCTACTCCTTCTATAGCTCAAACTCTATTTTGACGCGATAAACCCCTCTGACCTAATCCCATTTATTCCTCTCGCCAATACACACTCATCCCCACCCCTACTCAGGCAATTTGCGTCTTCACCATAAAGCCAGACATCCAGACTTCTTTTCTCATTCATAACATCCACAATCAACTCTTTCTTAATCATCCATGCACAACAACTCCCTGCTCTCGATTGTCAGCCATCCGACTTTACAATTTTCTTCTACTTATTCTTTTAGTAAATCTTACAGGAAAAGGGGTTACTAGCCCATTGTTCCCCGGACATTTTAAGTCCTTTTAACAACACGCATGGCTTACGGAGGAAAGTTCTTATTCCACTTCCCCATGGATTAAAGGAAAAATTAATAAGTACACGCAAGAACTATTAATAATACAAATTCCAAGAAACAATCAGATGAGCTGGTATGAATTAAATTGTCATCAATGTATGTGTAGTGTGACCTAAGTGTAAGTAGAAGTAGCAAGACATGCCTGTGAATCTTGACATATTATGAACAAGACAAAAGACATTCAGCAATCCTACCACATCCATGTAAAACAATTACAGGCTTTCGTTTTAAACACTCACGCAATGGCAAAGGTACGAGTAGTACCATCCCATAGGTGGTTGCTGTCTACCATACACACGATTTTTCATATGTTCTGTTTCATAAAAATATTGTTTGCAGATTAACTCCTTTCAGGGTCCAAGGCCAAAATCTGAAGTCCCACGCACCATGTCCAAGAAATTTTGAAAAAAAAAACAAATTATTTTTTATTGCAGAATTTAAAGACACATTTTTGTGAATGGTAATAAAACAAAAAAAATAAGAATCTGAATCATACTTTACCGAGATACAGTGCCAAGAAGTTTACTAGAAAATTAGATGCTGGTGAGATGGCAACATCGACAATTCCACATCACGTCGTAATTATTTTTTTTGTTGTTTTATTGTTTTTTCTTTTCTTCATTACACAATTTCTTTCTCTATTCCTACTAACATTTGCAGGCCATGAGAGACGCAAAACAAAAAAAACAGAACATTTGCCAAAACTGTATATACAATTAGTATCATATGATGTGATAGGAGGGTACTGGATATAAGTTAGATAATAAATGCAGTAATTAGAATGTGGGGGCAGGGGTTTGTGGTTATAGGAGGGTGGAAGCAGAGGAAAGAGGAGTGATTTGGTGGAATTGATGAAGTAAAGGGTGTGATAAAAGAGAAAAAGTAGGCTTACAGAGAGGTTTTTCACTAAAGTCAGAAGTGTTATAAGAAGAGCAAGTATATGGAGAGTAAAAGAAAGGTAAAGCGAGGTGGTGAGAGAGTGCAAAAGGAGAGCAGATGATAGAGTGGGAGAGGCACTGTCAAGAATTTGATTATTAATGAAAATAAGAAACAAATTTTGGAGATGAGTTAAACAAGTTGAGACAGCTGGAAAATATGGATTTGATCAGTTAAAACAAACAGAGTAGGGGAGTTAGTAGATGGGAGATGGAGTATTGGGTAAATGGGCCGATGAATATTTTGAGGAACGTTTTAAATGTTAAGTGAAGAAATCAGAAGCATAATTCATGGCACATGGTCAGTGGAGTATACCATCTTTTAGGAGGAAGAAGCGCAGAACTGTAAGTGTGGGGGAGGTCCGATGAGGCATTTACGTAAAAATGAAAGGGGTAAAGCAGCTGAACAGATGGGATCATGACAGAAATGTTTAAAAGCAGGGGGGGATATAGTGTTGGAGTGGTTGGTACTTTGTTAATAAATGTAGAAAAGGGGAAGGTAACTATGGATTAGGCGGAGAGCAAGTATATCCCTTTATATAAAGGGAAAGGGGACAAAGAGACTGTAAAAATTATAGAGGAAATAAGCTTACTGAGTATACCAGGAAAAGTGTCACGTATGGGTTATAATTGAAAGATTTAGAAGGTAAGAACAGAATGTCTAGGATTTGCGGATGAAGCAAGGAGCGGTCTTTAAGAGTGGGTAGGGATGTGTAGCATCAAGTGTTTACATGAAGCATATATGTGAACATATTTTAGATAAAGGATAGTAGGGAAGTTTTTATTGCATTTATGATTTAGACAACAAGGCATACTGATACAGAGTTAGCTATAGGAGGAGCAATGTGGCCAGATCAGTATTCCGCAACAGAATCAATGGAATATAAGGTGGTAAGCTTATTCTTAAATGCTGTAAAGAGTTTTTATGAGGATAGTGAGGCACAGGTTGAGGGTGTGGAGAAGAGAGGGAGACTCATCCTGGTAAACTCAGTATGGTCTTAGACAGGGATCTGTAATGTCCCACCCAATGGTTGTTTAAATCTATATTATATAGATGGGGTTGTTCAAAGAAGTAACGCTAGCGAGTGTACCGGGAGAGGGGTGATTAAACCTTTGGGAATCTAAATTCAAAATGGGAATTGACACTCAGTTACTTTTTGCGCTGATGAATCAAACAAGAACCCTGTGTCTGATATAGAGATCTAAAGAAAAATTGCGCATAAGTGCTAGTGGATGGTTTTTTGGGAATGTGTGGTAAAGGCTCAAGGCAATTGAAAGTGAACGAAGAAAGAGTAAGGTGATGAGGGTGCGTCAAATTATTTAGATAAAAGTCAAAAATTGATATCAACATTGGGGAGTAAGATGTAACTCTCTACTCTTTAACAAGAGGAGTATGGAAGAAGTGAATGTTTTCAGATACTTGGGAGTATGACTAGTGTCGGCGGATGGATTTATGTAAGATGAGGTTAATCATAGAATTGATGAAGGGAAAAAAGGAGAGTGTTCGTTGAAGGTATATCGGAGTGGCAAAAAAAAAAACGTATCTATGGAGCAGCAAAGAAGGGAATGTATGAGTTAAAAAAGTATAGTAGTACCAAACCACGCTTATATGGGTGTGAAAGCTTGGGTGGTGGTAAATGCAGCAGCGAGGAGACGAGTCTGGAGGGGCAGTGGAGATGTCCTGTTTACAAGGGCAATGTGTGGTGTAAATATCTATCCAGAAAAATTCGGAGTTGTGGCGAAATTAGGAGAAGCGTGTGGAGTTAAATAAAAGTATTAGTACAGAGGGCAGAAGAGAGGGTTGTTGGAGGTGGTTTTGTCATTCTCGAGAGAATGGATCAAAGTAGAATGACATGGAAAGGGCATAAAATCTATAGGGGAAAGGAACGAGCGCGGGGTAGGGTCTGTCCTCGAAAGGGTTGGAGAGAGGGGGTAAAGGAGGCTTTTGTGGGTCAAGGCTTGGACTTCCAGCAAGCGAGCGTGAGCGTGTTAGATAGGAGTGAAATGGAGACACGAATGGTACTTGGGACCATGACGATCTGCTTGGAGTTGTGGCAGGGTAATATTTAGTGAAGGGATTCAGGGAAACCACCGGTTATTTCATATAGTCGGACTTGAAGTCCGGGAAATGGGAAGTACAGATGCCTGCACTTTAAGAGGGGGGTTTGGGATCTTGACCCAGTTTTGAGGGATATGTTGTTTTATCTTTAAATGTGTATGCTTCTAAGACTGTTGTATTCTGAGCAGCCTCTGCAAAAACAGTGCGAGATAATGTGCGGTGGTGGGTGAAAGTGTTGGAATCAGATGATGAAAGTATTTTCTTCTTGGGGATTTGACATTTCTTTTTTGGGTCAACCCGTGCCTCGGTGGGAGACGCCGACTTGTTGGACTGAAACAAAACAAAAAAAAAAAAAAAAAAACACTGCGTATTACTACAATAACCGTCATCTAAATTATTATCATATTGTTTACGCCACTGACCACTGTTGTTTTATTACAATAAACATGCACAAATATTGTATAACATACACAATGTTCTAATCATCATATTTACATATTTACCAATCACTAGGACAGGTTTAGAATTGCAGGAGTTTTGTGGCAATCTCCTTGAAACAAGGCCACCATGCACATAAGGCACCTTACATTCTTCTCACACATAAACCGATGTCTTGTTCTTTGTTGGCCGTCGTGTTGCTTGTGCACACGACAATGCATCTCTCTACTGAGCCAAATTTCTTTTGAGTTGAAGGAGAGCTGTATTATGAAAAGCATCACCTTCGTCTCCTCATAAAACGCTTGGGTATATCCTGAGGAATTCGGGACCTTGTTTATTGTAGTTGTTTTACCTGGTACTTCATTATGAGTTGACTGACAACAGAGAAACAAAATTCACCATATCTTAAACTCGTGGCTTTTACCAGTCTTTATTTGGTACTATCTATTATATGCATTGAGCTTGAAATGTCTCATATACGAGATGGAAGAAAAAGTTTCATGCTACTAACTTGTAACTCTTACGAACACATCAGTCAACAAAACGCAATCTGCATGTCACACTTTGTCAACCAAGTCGCATATTTGTGTATAATCAATCACTGACCTCGTTATCGCAATTACGTTATAAAAACACAAAAAATATTGTAGGGGGGGGGGGGGGGGGGGGGGGGGGGGGGGGGGGGGGGGGGGGGGAACATTACTAGTCACTCATTTCACTCGATCATACTTGCCAACTGTCTGCATTTCATTACGGTGAATGGTTGTCACAATGTGAATCTCGTTTGTCATGCCACCGATGCCATGAATTCATTGGCAGTAAACACCTGCACATCATCACCAAGACGAACACTTGCGTTGAGCCTGGGCATATGTTCCGATTAGAATGCAACTGTGGCCACACACACTGTCTTGTTCACCTTTCGTATCACATGACATTCACTGAGTAATGGCTTGTGTACCAGTTATCGTTATATAATGTATGTCCCCTTACCCAGATAAGGTGCCATCATGTTTCTCACTACGTCACCTGAGATACCCAATAACATCTTGGGATCTTTCCATGTTTTTACTACTCCCTTCTGTATCACAACCAATATCCGTAAAACACCAGGCCACTGTCACAATCACAGAGTACAAACAGTTTTATTAGTAATACCAAAGCGGTTCCTCTTGATCGGTTATAATCTACTGCTTGAATGACAGTCTACCTTTGCAACCAAAAATCAAAAGACCCGTCAATTACAAGATTCTTTAATGGATAAAAGTATATCCCTGACTATCTGATTTGAGATACATGAAAAACAATTCTAATCTTGTATAAACCTGTCCACTTTCTGTCAGGCCTGTTTTGTCAGAAAGTGCAACATACGAAAACAGTCAAGATCAAACACTATGCACTGGATTTTTAGTTCAACACTGAATGACTCGTGGTCAGAAATATACCGATACTGTGGACGCAGTCATGTTACTTATTACTGCTTATAGACGTACGGCATAAGCATTATTGTTGCAAAAAGCCAATCACATGTTTCTGCAACGTCGGTCTCACCTATCTCTGACCACGTCACATGTACTTCTTGACTGTGGTGATAAGAGATCGTGACTTTGCCATGGCTGTACTTGAAAATACTTATTACTTTCCACTGGCAATCAATTTTTCCATCAATGGCTTGGTCAAAGATAATTCAAAAGAATTACCAGTTCACATTGGCCAGTTGTTCCACATGGGACCGGTAGCGTAGAATCCACTTTGAGACGTCATCAAAGTGGTGAGAGACTTGGGAACAAAATGGGAGTCAATCTGTGAGAGGCGAGGCCCACAATACCCATACATTAACGTGGTTTTCTATAGGTGGATACGAGAGGACAATCATAAGTGGTTGTACGGCGGTTGTGGTTGGTGGCGGCTGGTGGCGACGCTCCGCTTATGTCTATGAAACTGACGAGTCAGCAGCGTGGGTCCCCGGCGTGGCACACTGTGAGTACACGCATTGGCCGAGTGCCACTACCCCACCATCCAGCACCACTTAAAACAACCATCACTAATGCCTGTGGCTCATCCGCGTTAGTTATACCAAGCGTAGTCCACATCATCCTCACGTATCTACACTAAAATGGTGTAGGGAGCGTCGACGGAACTGTTACTCCGGATGTACTCCCGTCCCCTGGCACGTAAGCATAGGGTACACATAACCCGAGCGCCAATGCGGCGGCGAACATACCGACTCGAGAGCACTGATGTGAAATATGCGATTCCGCTCACCTATACACTACTCTACTTCATATGATCGTCGAGCGCATAAATCACAATCCCACGTCAGGAACACATCGTCCATTACCCGAAGTCAGAAGGCCTGCCACGTGAACATATTAGTCTTTCACTCTTAACGTTTTAGGAACACCCGACCGAGAGTCCCAGAGTGCCCACAAATACCAACAGTTGACTGCTCTGAGCGTGTAGGAAAGTTCGATTGGTGATCTAAAACCGGGGTTTCCTGCACTATTTATCGATATCCTGCCATTATTTTCGGTCGGCTAACTTATCAAAGCGCGTGAATGTCGTCGTTCTTTCCACTTCCATCAGTGTCCAGAACTATCAGACAGGAAGGAAGAGTGAGTCCCAATTTTCCAGGGGCAGTTGAGAGCTGCTGACTTGCGACTCAGCACATATGGTGATAGCAGGGTGACTGTATGACCCGGCCGTTCCTTGCAACAATGACATTATGCAAGGCACCATAGAATTCATTTGTCTTTATAGCGCGCGAGCACCCACGTCGCAGAGACATTCTCTCACATGTAGGCCTATGAGCGCTTTCGTGCTAAATTTGACGGCGCTAGAATTTTGGCATAGATCTACGGTTTGGACACTCACCATAAAGCCGTAGATCTACGGGACGGACCCTGAAAGGGTTAAGAGGTACATCAAAATTTGGAATTTTTATTACACTAGGATTTTTATGTTTCATTGTTAAGGTACCTATAAAAAATTTCTCTAGAACTACATTAATATGTGTGGTAGACTAGAACCTCGCATAATGCTAGGGTTAAGTTCACGAAATTGATTCTTTATGTAATTTCACCCTATGTAATGTGAATAATGTATGGGAAAATTGAGTTAGGTTCTTAACACTTCCAAAAATAAACCCATTTTTTTTTTTTTTTTTTACATTTCTTATTTTGTCAAAAATAAGGAAGTTTTAACAAAACACATTGCAGACGTCATTGCTTATTGGTCTAGAAATGCATGTTGTGCTCAATTCCTGACACATAATAACTACTCTAAACTTATTATGCAATAAAGCCTGGGAAATAACTTTGAAAACTTGAGGGTGTTGAGAAGTTCACGCTAGTGTTTCTGAGATGCAGTAGACCATCTTTTCCTTCCATACCCCCCAAAAAAGGAGAAGGTCTCCTGTCCAGAAACATGTAAACATCTAATACAATACCAGTGGACTATATAAATTTAATACGACAAACACCTGTAGTATAAAATGCAATATAATTAAAAGAAATGAAAGAGTTTGTCTTTAGTCCTACCTTCAATTCGTTTTCTCTTGCTGTTTGATGTAGAAATGTTGGGAGTTTGGTTATTAGCACAATGTGAAGTAGACTAAATGTGGGTGGTGCTTTATTAGCTGACGGCACTCATTACATTGCATCAGGTAAGACTGCATCTCACATTTCAACACCAGTTTTCTGACTCATAACAGAGACAAGGAAGAATTCTTTATCCTACCTTCATTCCTCATTCTATACTTTTAATAAAGAACGTATTCTTAAGAATAGTTATGTGACTGCTGGGTGGAAGATGTTCTGTGGACAATCTGTTTTCTATCAGCTGACAGTTGTTGCCGTTGGTTATCCTGTACTGCAGCTGGAGTCATCAGCTAGCTTTCCCCCAGGCCAAATAATCTGACAGACAAAGTTTCTTCTAACTGAGATACTCCTTAAAACCCTTTCAGTCTCCAGACCCCTGAAATGAAAGTGCACACATTGTTCACATTCTAACCTTTGGGGGCTTTGAGGACGTACTAGTACGTCATTCTACGACCAGGGTTTTAGACGACTAGTATGGCCTAATAACCTTCTAGCGCCCCTGCAAATTTAGTGAGAGAATAGGCTGTAGACGACTACATATGAAAGAATGGGTCTGTGTGGTCCATCTGCGCTAGTACTAAAAAAATCCCGCAGCATCGACAGTGCGTAATGAGACTAAAAAAAACTTGAACCAGTGTTTTGGGATTAAAACAGCAACATTGCAATGTATTCGTATGCTCTCTTAATTGTTGTATTCTAGTTTTCTTGGGTCACAATTTTAATAGATGGCAAGACATATTACAGAAATTGAGATGATTTTTGAACTGGTCTTTACAACAAATGAAAAAGTAACCTTTAATATTGAGCTCAAAAGTAGCAAGAAAAATGTTTGATCATCTTACCACACATCTTGCATACAAGTAAACTAAACTCATGCCAAGCATTCCCAATACACATCAACTAGTGCAAGCTCTAATATCTTTAGCGAAGTGCGCTGATATTATTTATACAATTTCTACACTCCAATGCAGATAGTCTGCGTAAACAGTAAAAATCTTCATCTTTTTTGTAAGAATAAAAATTCAAAGTGGAAAGCCAAAGAAAATACAAGATGGGGCCTGGGAAGCTAGACTAACGAGAACAGAGAACCTGTTATTTTAGTCCAGGAATGTCTTTCTTGTTTATTCATGACCCTATTCCGGAAAGTGCTACTCTTCTGCGGACTCTTATATATGTTGTGTGAAATTGGACAAAATTTGCGTAAATTCTGAACCAATTATTGATATTGAAATCGGTAAATGGGTGGTTTCTTGTAGCTCATGTCGATAGAAAAATGGGAGCTTCTAACTGCAAAAGTGGCAGGTTTATGATTTACGTTGAATAGTACACTGGAACTAAGCCCGAAAATAGGGCTCTAAATAGTGGGCAAAATCGCCAATGCGTAAACGACCGAGAACTGCTAATCTTCGCGAGAGCATAATTCCATAAGTTTTCGCACCAAATTCATACTTTTCTCTGGTGCCCTTATCATCGCAGACGAAAGATCTCTATCCTTTTATAAGATATATTTTTTTTTTTTTCTTTTAAATTGTTGCCGACGCCTGAGATACATCTATCGAGTTGCGACGAGGAGACCTTGAGCGACTCCCTACAAGGGTTAACAAAAAAAATCTGAAACAAATAGAGAAATTTTCTGGAGGTATTTTTTGTAACGTCAATCCAACGAAAATTTGATGGAAAAACTTGTGAATTTCACAAGTGCAAAGTTAGCAGTAGGAGCACATCTTACACATCAACGATTTTGGCTGAATACGAGTCATATTTGAGTCACAAAATATCCATTGATTAAATTTATCACAATTCTTAGCTATTTATCAGTATATGCCTTTCGTTCTGTTGTTTGAGCACCAATCAGCAATCACCCCATTCAACTATCTGAGACTATCCAATATAAAGAGCACAAAAGTATGTACATTACGGCCCAATTTGTTATGCAAAATTAAAACACAAAATTCCATTTAAATAACAGTTCAAAATAAATACTGAAGGTATTCCAGACACTAAAACATTTCCTCTGTTCATTAATCATGACCCTGGGCCTCTCCTATTACACTTACTTTCCATTTTGAATTCATAATCAGACAACAGTAGAAAGTTTACTCTAATTCTTGGATAATAAAATATAGTTGGACCTAATAGAAACCCATAAGCTGCTACTGCTCCTGAAACCAACCAAACTCGTATCTATTTCAGTAGTATGGCTTCCATTCTATCAAATGATAACAAGAAAATCTGACAAAAACCATCAAAATCATCATAGAAAACACCTCAAAATTGCCATATTAATCCAAAAATACAGTCAAAACTTTGCTTTTCCCATTATGCATTGCATCACACAAACCCATTACAGCCTCTCCTTACTTTACAACGGAGTTCCGTTCCTAAGACCACATCGGTAAATGAATTCGTCGCTAAGTGAGGAGCACATGTACTATAATGGTAGTGGGTTTGTGTCAACCATCTTTGATGTTGTTTTAATGTCACCTTTGCACTGTTTATAACATTTCTGGTATATTTTTAAATGTTTATACAGTAGTGTACTGTATATTTTAATAAACAGAATAGAGGAAATTAGCTCTGATACACATTTTTTAGGTATGCATACTGGTTAGAGAGCCCATCGTAAGTCCAAGGCATAGGTACACGGTACACGAGTAAGTCGTTAAGTGATGAGAGGCTGTATTTCATATCTAGGCCAAAATTTACTAGTACTTACAGCTTATCTGAGTGAGCTGATCTCATGACGTAGAACTACTTGAGACCCCCTGGCCTCAGTGCCTTATTTCCACATGACAGCTTTTTACATTAGGTTAAGTTAGTTTACATGTGGTTAGGTTGGGTTCTAACCAACCCAACCCAATCCAAGCAAACCATACCTGATGTAAATTAGCCTAACCAGCCCTAAAAAAAAAACCATACCACAGGTGGGATTAGAACCCGTGATCAGAGAGTCTCAAAACTCCAGACTGTCGCATTAACCACTGGGCCAGCTGGCTAATGCGACGGTCTGGAGTTTTGAGACTCTCTGATCGCGGGTTCTAATCCCACCTGTGGTATGGTTTGTTTGCAATTGTGTCATTATGATTTCGTGAGTCAACCCTAAATATAACCTCACCTAATAAATAATCATTCTTCAGTGGTACTTACATTAATAAAGCAGGAATCAATCTTTGCTCTTGAAAACACACTTCTTGTTCTCTAAAGTTGTGAATTATGCCTTAAAACAAATTCACATAAATTACACTGTAAATATTAGTCTGGCCTTTGTTGTAACACATTGGCCATCTCCCACCAAGGTAGGGTGACCCAAAAAAGAAACGCTCTCATCGTCATTCACACTATCACTCTTGCCAGTGGCATGCAAATATGACATAGGAAGTGTCCCTCCAAACAGCAGATATCCCTACTCCTTTAGAGTGCAGGCACTTTACTTCCTACCTCTAGGACTCGAGCTTAGCTAATTGGTTTCTCTGAATTGCTTCACAAAATGTTACCTGGCTAACACTGCAACAGCTCACCAGGTCCCAAAAGCCATTTGCCTCCACTCCTATCTAACATGCTCTCACATACCTGCTTGATGTCCGAGTCCCTTGCACACAAAACCTCCTTTACCCTCTACCTCCATCCTTTCTTAGGATGACCTCTATTCAGTCTTCCCTCCCCTACAGATTTATACACCCTTCAAGTCACCCTTTTGCTCCATCCTCTCTAAATGACCAAACCACCTCGACAACTCTTCCTCAGCCCTCTGGATAATACTTTTAGTAATTCTGAACTTCTTCTAATCTCTGTACTGTGAGTTCTCTACATAATATTTACACCACACATTGCCATCAGACACGACATCTCCACTGCCTCCAGCCTCCTCCTCACTGCAACATTCACAACCCGTGCTTCACACCCGCATAAGAGTGTTGGTACCACTCTACTCTCTTACTTTACACTTTTGCCTCCATGGGTAATGTTCTTTGTCTCCACAGGTGCCTAAGTGCTTCAGCCATGTTTTTTTTTTTTCCTTCATCAGCTCTGTGGTTCACCTCATCTTTCATATACCCATTTGCTGACAAGTCCACCGCAAAATATCTGAATACATTCACTTCCTCCATAGCTCCTTCCCCTCCAGTCTGACATCTAGTCTTTCATTACCTAACTCACTTGTTACCCTCATCACTTTACTCTTATCTGTGTTCATTTTCAACTTCCTTTACATACCCTCCCAAATTTGACCACTAACCTTTGCAATTTCTCTTCAGAATGTGGTCAATATCACCTAAAATAACAATTTGCTTAATAATTTTTTTGCCTGGGTTTGGATACTTTGCTTGTGTATTATAAATAAATGGTGGAGTTCTGCCTAGCAGCTAAAGTAAATCTTCTTTCAGCACACCGGCCGTATCCCACCGAGGCAGGGTGGCCCAAAAGGAAAAACGAAAGTTTCTCCTTTTACACTTGGTAATATATACAGAAGAAGGGTTACTAGCCCCTTGCTCCCAGCATTTTAGTCGCCTCTTACAACACGCATGGCTTACTGAGGAAGAATTCTGTTTCACTTTCCCATGGAGATAAGAGGATATAAACAGGAACAAGAACTAGAAAGAAAATAGAAGAAAACCCAGAGGGGTGTGTGTGTATATGCTTGTACATGTATGTGTAGTGTGACCTAAGTGTTAGAAGAAGTAGCAAGACGTACCTGTAATCTTGCATATTTATGAGACAGACAAAAGACACCAGCAATGTTACCATCATGTAAAACAATTACAATGGACCCTCGCCTAACGATGGCATCGCATAACGTTAAATCCGCCTAGCGATACATTTTAACGCAAAAATTTTGCCTCGCCTAGCGCTAAAAAACTCACTCAATGCGATTCATCTGAGACGCGTCCACGTGCAGCCTGAGCCAGCCTCACTTGTTCCGTGGGTGGCAGTGTTTACAAGCCAGCCTCCGCGGTCACATCCAAGCATACAATCAGAACATTTCATATTATCACAGCGTTTTTAGTGATTTCACCTGCAAAATAAGTGACCATGGGCCCCAAGAAAGCTTCTAGTGCCAACCCTGTGGTAAAAAGGGTGAGAAATACTATCGTACAACAGTCAGCTGCTGCTGCACCACCGTCAGCTGTTGCTGGACCAGTCAGCTGTTGCTGCACCACAGCTGCTGCTGCACCACAGTCAGCTGCTGCTGCACCTCGGTCAGCTGTTGCTGCACCACGGTCAGCTGTTGCTGCACCACAGTCAGCTGTTGTTGTTGCTGCATCACCATCAGCTGTATTACTCGAAGATGTGGAGAGTGTGTTGTTGGTATGGCTTAACATGAAACAATTACCGAGAAACGATTAACCCCAGAGGGTTAGCCACCCAGGATAACCCAAGAAAGTCAGTGCATCATCGAGGACTGTCTAACTTATTTCCATTGGGGTCCTTAATCTTGTCCCCCAGGATGCGACCCACAACAGTTGACTAACACCCAGGTGAACAGGAAAAAATGCCTGGAACTAGTGCTCATATTGGTGAGGTTAGTGGGGAGGATGTGGAAGAGTTGGTGGAGGAGGACAATGACGAACTAACCACTGATGAGCTGCTAGATCATCTTCAACAGCAAGAGGCCAGACCTGAGGAAACTGCTTCAGAGGAGGGGAGAGAGAAATTGAAGAAGTTGCCTACTTCAAAGATTAAGGAAATGTGTGCAATGTGGCTTGAAGTGCAAACCTTTTTTGATGAAAATCACCCTGACACAGCTATTGCAAGTCGTGCTGGTGACTATTACACTAACAGTGTTGTGAACCACTTTAGGAAAGTCATAAAGGAACGAGAGGTACAGGCCTCTATGGACAGATATATTGTGCGACAGAGGTCCAGTGACTCTCAAGCTGGTCCTAGTGGCATTAAAAGAAGAAGGGAAGTAACCCCAGAAAAGGACTTGACACCTCAAGCCCTAATGGAATGGGATTCCCCTTCTAAACACAAAGACCATCCACACTCTCCCCTCCTCCCATCCCATCAGTCATCACCAGATCTTCAATAAAGGTAAGTGTCATGTTTTGTACATCTCTTCTTCAGTTTGTGTATTAAAATTAATATTTCATGTGGTAAAAAAATTTTTTTTCTTACTTTGGGGTGTCTTGCACGGATTAATTTGATTTCCATTATTTCTTATAGGGAAAATTAATTCGCCTAACGTTGAGCTCTCAGGAACGGATTAATATTGTTAGGCGAGGGTCCACTGTACAGGCTTTCGTTTTACACTCACTTGGCAAGACGGTAGTTCCTCCCTGGGTGGCTGCTGTCTACCAACCCACTACCTACAGCTAAAATAAATATTGATCATTATTTCTTGAAAATGGCACTTATCGAGCACCAACTGAGCAACACACATCACTTTGGCTCCCCAGGGAAGTTTCCTTAATGCCAGTGAAGGGGGTTAATGCTCAATGGAATTGGACCTGACTTCCCTGTCCTTGGATTGAACCTAATTGCCTCTCATTCCCACCAGGCACTGTATGACTGACCCCTATGATTTCAATGTTGCCCCCTCCCCTTTCCCCCCATGAGTGTAACAATATGCCTCTGTGTAACGACATGCTATTGGCATTTCTTCTAAAACTGAATCTTCTGTACTCATTTTACCATGTAATTTGTATAGTTATTTATAATTAAAATGCAAAGATTTTCAGATTCAGGTTTCATAAAAATGTTTTTCAGCCTGACAACCCAGCATTTGATCGTGACTTCCTCCTGGCCCTGGGCGCCTTGCACAAAAAAAATGAAATAAATTTGGGAGAAGAAAAGTTCTTCACTGGTAACTACAGGATTAAGAAGGATAAAGAAGAGAAAGATAAAGAAGAGAAGGCTATGACAATTCAAGACTATCAGCGTCACATCATCGTTGATCGTTGTGGAGAGCTAGACGATGAAACTGGTAGGTTATGCAAGTAAATTTCCCATTGCTCCTCAGTAGACTTTACATAATCCTTGTAGATCCTTAAAAAGTCTTGAAATTGAAATTGCAGATTCTCAGTCTGATTTCCCAGAACCTCTTAAAATATATACAGTGGAACCTCGGTATACGACCAGCTTCCTACTCGAACAAAGCTCAGCACTCGACCAAAAAAATAGTACAGTGGACCCTTGGATATCGGCTGTAATCCTTTCCAGAAAGTCGGCCTAAAACTGAAATGGCCAAAAAGTTAAATAATATTTCCCATAAGAATTAATGTAAATACAATTAATTCATTTCAGACACCCAAAAATCTTTCAACACACCGGCCGTATCCCACCGAGGCGGGGTGGCCCAAAAGGAAAAACGAAAGTTTCTCCTTTTACATTTAGTAATATATACAGGAGAAGAGGTTACTAGCCCCTTGCTCCCGGCATTTTAGTCGCCTCTTACAACACGCATGGCTTACGGAGGGCGAATTCTGTTCCACTTCCCCATGGAGATAAGAGGAAATAAACAAGAATAAGAACTAGAAAGAAAATAGAAGAAAACCCAGAGGGGTGTGTGTATATATGTGCTTGTACATGTATGTGTAGTGTGACCTAAGTGTAAGTAGAAGTAGCAAGACATACCTGAAATCTTGCATGTTCATGAGACAGAAAAAAGGACACCAGCAATCCTACCATCGTGTAAAACAATTACAGGCTTCTGTTTTACACTCGCTTGGCAGGACGGTAGTACCTCCCTGGGTGGTTGCTGTCTACCAACCTACTGCCTAGGACACCCAAAAATATTAACAAAAAATTCATTTTTTAAAGATTAACTATAGTTTTACATACACATAACAATGAGGACTAAATAAAAATAATAAATGAACATTTAAATCACTATTACATACCTTTTATTGAAGACTCTTGTTGGCTTATGGAAGATGGAGGAGGAGAGAGGGAGGAGAATATTGTTTGGAGGACAAAATACTCCTTCAATGTGATGCTAATATCAACTTCATGGCTTATTTATCTACAGTGGACCCTCAGTTGACACCTTTAATCCATTCCAGAGAGCTAGCCTTTAACTGATTTTCCCCATGAGAAATAACAGAAATCCAATTAATCCTTTCCAGACACCCAAAAGTATTAAACAAAATAATTTTTTTTTTACATGAAATATACATTTCCCTACACAGCAACAAATGGTACATGCAAAATAAACAATAATTAAATGTCACTTACCTTTATTGTGGAGTTGTTGTTGAGTGATGTGCCAGCAGCAGGGGAGGTTCAGGTTTCCTATTGTTTGGAAGGGGAATCCCCTTCCATAAAGATTTCAGGTAACAAGTCCTTTTCTGGGGGTTACCTCCCTTCTTGGTTTTTAATGCCACTAGGACTAGCTTGAGAGTCACTGAACCCCTGTCACACCAAAAATCTGTCCAGAGAGCTCTGTTTCTCACGTGCCCTTAGCATTCCCTAAAATGGGACATGAGAGTGCCATTGTACATGTTCCCAATACGGCTTGCAACAGCTGTGAAAGGATAAAATTCATCCATAAATGCTTGCACCTTTGTAAACGTGTACACATTTCCTTAATTCTTGACGAAGGCAACTTCCTCCGTCTCTCTTCCTCCTGCTCTGAAGCACATTTCTGAGCTGTGATCTGTTGCTGTTGCACATCAAGCTCTTGAAGGTTTCCAGTGGTTAGTTCTTCATCGTTGTTCTGCACTAACTCTTCCACATCCTCACCACAAACCTCCAACCCCATGGACTTCCCCAATGACGCAATAGCTTCCACTACTGTCGTGGGCTCATGAGGGTTAGCCTCAAACCCTTCAAAATCCCTCTTGTACACATTGTGGCCACAGTTTCCTCCAAGCAGAGTTCAAAGTCCTGCAAGTCACTCCCTCCCAAGCCTTACCTATAAGGTTTATGCAACTGAGGATATTGAAGTGATCTTTCCAAAACTCTCTTAGGGTCAGTTCAGTGTCTGAGGTCACTTCAAACCACTTTTGAAACACTGCTTTTGTGTAGATTTTTTTGAAGTTTGAAATAACCTACTGGTCCATGGGCTGGAGGAGAGGAGTTGTATTAGGAGGCAAAAATTTAACTTTAATGAAACCAAACTCCCCTGCAATTTGTTCTTGCAAGTCGTGAGGATGAGCAGGAGCATTGTCCATTACCAGGAGACACTTGAGTGACAGTTTCTTTCCCAGGAGGTAATTTTTCACAGTGGGGCCAAACACACCATAAAACCAGTTCATGAAAATTTCCCTAGTGACCCATGCCTTAGTGTTTGATCTCCACATCACACACAAATTACCCTTGATGATATTGTTTTTCTTGAACACACTGGGAGTTTGTGATACACCACTAAAGGCTTCACTTTGCAGTCACCACTAGCATTACTACACAACATTAATGTCAGCCTGTCTTTCATAGGCTTATGTCCTGGAAGTGCCTTTTCCTCCTGAGTAATGTAGGTCCTGTTTGGCATTTATTTCCAAAACAGGCCTGTTTCGTCACAATTAAACACTTGTTCGGGTTTTAAGTTTTCAGTCTGTATGTACTCCTTAAAGTCCTGCACATATTTTTCAGCCACTTTCTTGTCTAAACTTGCAGCCTCGCCATGCCTTATTACACTGTGTATGCCACTACAATTCTTAAATCTCTCAAACCAGCCTTTTCTGGCCTTAAATTCATCAGCAGCAGCACTATTTGGAGGCATTTTCTTAATGAGATCATCATGCAACTGCCTTACCTTTTCACATATTATTGACTGAGATATACTATCCCCTGATAATTGTTTCTCGTTTATCCACACCAATAACAGTCTCTCCACATCTTCGAGTATTTGCGATCTCTGTTTTGTAATCACACTTGCACCTTTTGCAACAACAGCTTCCTTGATTGCCTTATTGTTGTGCAAGGTAGTAGTGATGGTTGAATGGGGTATGTTGTATAACTTTTCCAACTTCGAGGTACGCACTCCACTTTTGTACTTTTTTATTATCTCCTTTTTCAGTTTGATGGTACACCTCACCCTTTTTACCACAGGGTTGGCACTAGAAGCTTTCTTAGGGCCCATGGTGGCTTATTTAGCACTAAAAACAGTGGAATAATACAAAATATATAGCAGGTACATGTCGAATCGACCACAACGGCTTGTAAACAGTGCCACACTGGCTGGTAGACTGGGTGACTGGCCGGGCCCACTCATGGCGCCCGGTGGACACGTTCGGGATGAATGCTCCTAACTGAGTTTTTAGGTGTTACCTGAGCCAAAGCGAGCCGTTATCCAATTTTGGCACTATCCGATCACAATTCATCTAATATGACATAATAAACAATATTAATAACATAGAAACATGATATATACTCTAGAATGAATAAAATATATCATTACGTATGTCACGAGTGGTCGTGTTGGTGTGTTGTTGGGTTTACAAGGGCCACTGAGATCATAAGCCGTACATATTAGTGGTAGGGTGGCAGCAGCAAAAAGCCACTATTCACACAAACAACGTACATAATTTAAAAATAAGAAATATTTACATTTACTGTACCTTGGAGGAGATGCTGGCATTGGTTTAGGGTGGTGGAAGATAGGCAGGGCAGCATATATTGTAAGTGGTCCTATATACCTCTTAACAACATTGGAGGAGTCAGTTTCATATTGTCCTTTTTCTTTCACTTGATTGCTTAATTTACTTGCTACACTGTTAATGCTACACTTTATTGCTGGCTGGTGCTATTGCCTTTATCAACTTCTGCTGCTTTAATGTCGTACATATCGTAGAATCACTGAATCACCGAAGAAGGCACATTCTTCAGTCTCTCTCTCCCTCCTCTACTCTCATACTTTTCAACAACTTCTTTCTTAAATTCCATCGTGTTTCTCACTTTCTTTACCAAAGGAACTTTCTTTGGGGCCATGGTTGCTTATTTCACAGTTGCACTCAATAACCACAAAAAACAATGGATTATAGCAAAATGTTTGGATGAATGAGCAGAAGTTTCCTCACTCGCCCAGAGACACAGCCAGACTGACTCACGAGACGTGTGAGCACCTGGCAGGCAGTCAAGGGACGCGTCCAATACGGCTGATAGGTGACATAACGGCCGATAACCGGAAGCTGAAAAAGCACCCAATAACTGAGTTGGCCGATAAGTGGAACGGCCGGTAACCGAAAGTCCACTGTACAACCTGCCAGAACTTTGCTGTAAACTATTTTGTGTTTCTTCACATTTTTTGGTGTTTTTTTTTTTTTTTTTTTTTATTTGTATAAATAATTCACCATGGGGCCTACGACGATTAGTGATAACAACCAGCCAAACAGAAAATTGGTTGGGAAGAACTTGTTTGATACTCAAACGGAGCGGCACTCAGACAGCCTTCTGGAATGAATTAAGGTCGCATATCGAGGTTCCACTGTATATAAATTTTAGTTATGGTCAATTTCCAGCATGTCTTGACACTTTGGGTAGAATGGCATATTTGATGTGTCGTTTTTGGACCAGATGTTCATGTCATTTATAAAATGTAAATTCTGGTACCAAAGTATTCATAATGATGTTAACTTGTAATTTTAAGTGTTATTCATTTTTATATTCAGTAAACTCTCTTGTAACACAAGGGCCACTTTCCTAAAAATTGGCATGTTTCAGAAAATAGTGCAACATAGTGTAGGACATATGGGAAAAATAAGATTACATTCCAGACACCTAAACTTATCAATTTTTTTTATTTGATAGTTGTACTAGATAGAAATTACTACAATGTAACTTTCCTCACATTGTGTTAATCATTAAGTATTTGAAGAGTGTGGGAATGCTGCTATACATGAACAGCTCCATTCAGTTGTGACAGGTGAAATCTCAGATCTTGAAAATGCACAGAGAACCTTCACTGCACTTATAAGTTCAGAATGACAAATCATATCTACACCTGGAAAATCACTCCCTACAAAAGCAAAAGACTAGGCAGATGATGCAACTTACCCCCTATGAAAAGCAGGGGTGCCCTGAGTACATTAAGAAAAAACAGTTTGTCTGGAGCCCAGGACTGTTCAACAGCCTCCCACCATGCATCAGGGGAATTACCAATAGACTCCAAGCTGCCTTCAAGAGGAAACTGGACGGATTCCTAAAGTCAGTATCCAGTCAGCAGGGTTGTGGTTCATACCTTGGACTGTGTGTGGCCAGCAGTAATAGCCTGGTCAAGGATTGGACCACAGAGGCGTTGACCCCTGGAGCACCCTCCAGGTAGACTCCAGGTAGGTAGGGTGTTCTGGGTGGAGCTGGATGTAGCCATGGTTGATCAGCTGACACTTGGTACATGCAAGCATCATCATAATACTGCCACCTTTTGTAACCAAATTGTACTGAACAGTTGGGAGCTCAGTACACCTATACCAGACTTATTGTATACCAAAGATTAATGCACTTAGTGAAGTTAACACAAAGAAAAAATAATAATGCAAAATGTAGGAGGCAACATCAGTTGGATCCCTCAGCATGTTTGCATTGTAAAAATAAAAGGCACATTTCTTTACCAAATTACAGTGGACCCCTGGATTATGTTGTCATCGGATTTTGTAATATTCGGAATAAGTAACATTTTTTTTTTTTGTCAAAATATTGGCTTGGTGATCGTCATTGAACTCGGTAATAGTCATTTGTCCCAAACACGTCCACACAACAGTGGCCCGAAACTAGCCAGCCAAAGCAGCAGGAGTCAATAAAGGCTATAGCGCCAGCCAGCAATAGAGTGTAGCATTAACAGTGTAGCAAGTAAGTTTAGTGATTAATCGATAGAAAAAAGACAGCACGAAACTGATTCCTCCATTGTTGTTGGAGGTATATAGGGCTACTGACTAACACTGCCACCTCTGCTGCCGCCTTCACCACCACTGTGTGAGCTTATCTTTTAGTGGCCCTTATACACCCAGCAGCAAACAACACACCACCACTCGTGACATTCTTAATGCCATATTTTATTCTTTCTAGAGTATATATCATGTTTCTATGTAATTAATGTTGTTTATTATGTCATATTAGATGAATTGTGCTAGATAAATAAGCCATAGAGCTGCTATTAGTGTCATATTGAAGGACTATCTTGTCCTCTCCCCCAACACAATTCCTAACATACGCCAGAAACAGACCTCTCTGGAACATTTTTTTGAGCAACAGGGGTCCAGCAACTCTCAAGCTGGTCCTAGTGGCATTAAAGCACAAAGAAGGGAAGTAACCCAGGATAAGGACTTGGTACCTGAAGGGACGTGGAAGGGGATGCCCCTTCCAAACAATTGTAAACTCCTCCATCCTCTCCCCTCCTCAAGTCTTCCATACATCACCATGTCTTCAATAAAGGTAAGTGTGATGTTATTATTGTTTTATTCTTCATGTATAATTGCTTTCTGTGTTAGTAAATGTATATTTCATGTAGAAAACATTTTTTAATACTTTTGGGTGTCTGAAATGGATTGATTGGGTTTTTTATTTCTTTAAAAAAATTTATTCGGAAATTTTTCAAAATTTTTGGGTTTTGTCATCACTGGATGGATTAATTATGAAAACTGGGGCTCCACTGTATACTAAACAAAATACAATAATGCCTTTTCATAATAAAATGGTGTGGGAGGCTGTCAGTTATCATACATAGTGTAAATTACAGGGTAACCCCAAAAAACAAAACAAAATTCTATACTGTGCTTTAGATATGGACATAAGCATGACGGCAAGTAATACACATTTTTGCCACGTTGTATCTTTTTCACTTGTGCAGATGGGGGCAGTTCTGCAACAGTGTGTCCCCCGTTCATCTCGCTGACGATGAATTCATGACCAGCTTTCTCGGGAATTTGACAGCAGACAGAGACAGATAGATGGGCAGAGAGGGGAGTCTGTTATGTGTGTGGAACAATGGAACAAATAGAAAAAAATGCAAATTTTACTGGGGGACTGTTGATGGGCAGTGCACCATCAACAGTGCTGCTTTCTGCGCTGCTGTGTGCCCCTGCTGCTGCCGCTGTGCTGCCGTGTGCCGCCCCCCCGCCGCTGCTTCTTTTTTACTACTTACTACTACTGAGCAAGTTTCAGAACATCACCACTAGGTGACACAGCATCAGCTGAGCTGTGCAATGTGTTTGTCACCGTGGAAACATTTCTCGTGTTATTATTACCAAATTTCTTTTTTCTAACCATAGGTCCTAAGAAAGTAAGTGCAAAGGACAGTACTGAGAAGAAAAAGGGGATGATGCCCATGGAATTACAGCATGTAATCATAGATAAACAAGTGAGAGGGTGGCAGTAGGAGCTAGTAGCAAGTAGCCTATCTTCCACTCTCCACCTCCACCAGCATATGTACACTTTATAAAACCACTTTATTTCTTTACATTCTCTATTATGTTTTTATACACTATTTCTTATGGCCTATTTTATTCATTCCAGAGTATATATATCATTTTTCTATGTTAATTATATTGTTTATTGTGTCATATTAGATGAATTGTGATAGATAAATAAGCTGTAGAGTTAATATTAGCATCATATTGAAGCATTTTTGTCCTCCTGAGAGCAGGAATTCTGCTGAAATGGAATAATGACATTTCAATTAATTTAAATGAGGAAAATTGACTCAGCCTACGAGCAGATCGGGTTACGAGCTAGGTCACCGAACAGACTAAACTCATAAGCAGAGTTTCCACTGTAGTCTTTGTTAGAGATATTCCAGTCCGTGTTCAAAGATCTTTCTCATAAATTGCATGCACCCATCTCCAGATTTTATTTTCTCCTTTTCTTTATTGATCATTTAAAGATATCTGACGATCGTAATTTTCTATATTTCTCATTCAAGATGCAACAGCTGTAAGAAAGTCCGATTACAACCCATTACAGGGTACAAAAATCACTGGCTTTGATGATGATGATGATGATGATGATGCAAGTGATGATGGTAATGGGCTGTTGACTTCAGGTTTGTTCAAGGTCAAAGAATGTCCACCAAAGAAAACGGAAGAGCCCTTAGAGGTATGCATGAGCATTTTTTTATTGTTGTTAATAACATAGGAAAGCATGTCTGCAAACAAGAATTCTAGTTGCTTTCTCCTGTTAGATGACTTTCAAGCAATTATGTAATGGTAGAATGAAGGCTTCATGCACAGCATAGTATAGAAAAGAATGGGAAGTAAAATTTTTAAGTGCTCAGTTCTAGGAATTTGTAATACAATACATTACCCATGAATAGCATAGCAATAGCAACACTGTCACAGTGAATCTTACCAAGTGTCTAGAGGTAAATACACACAGATCTAAATGGATTGTGAAAACGTGCAATTGCATTAAGTTTTATAACCTACATGAACTGTATCACTGTAGGCAACAAGAGCATTTCACCCCTCCATGGAAGATGTGTTCATTTAATATCACATACCTACAAGTCCCTCCCAAGAAGCTCATTGCTAGTAATCCCTTCCTTAAATCTCTTGTTAGAGCAACTGCTCAAGAAGAAATTTCTCACCTAGCTGGTAGTAACAAGTTATCACAAGTTATATACACTGATGGATCTAAACAGGAGTCTTCTGGCAGGGCTGCATCTGCTCTTGTTGCCACCTCCCTAGTTAAGAACGATAATAAATTTGTTGAGTTAGGCATAAGAATTAACAACTGGGCGTCTACACTGCAAACTGAATTGTTTGCAATCCTAATGGCGCTAAAGCTAACCTATGACACTGAGCTTGACTCTATCATCATTACTGATTCTATGTCATCACTGAAGGCTCTTGAGTCATATAATGACTCCAACAACATGCTCATTGGGGAAGCCAGGTATAGATACTCAAAAATTAGGGACAAAGGAATTAATGTACAATTGCTATGGATCCCATCACACATTGGATTACTCCTTCATGATAAAGTTGATATGTTAGCCAAGAAGAGTATCCAGAAGGAGAATGTAGAATATAACTTTGGTATAACTGTGTCTAGCATTAGGAATAATATTAGGAGAGAAGTAAATAATGAAAATGATTGTTATAGGAATGCAGTTAGAAGCCTGAGTAGATCTATAACCCACTATGATAACATGAACGTAGATAAGTATGTTTATGGAGCAACTTGCAATGTGAACAGACTGACTGATGTTGTAGTGGCCAGGCTTAGGCTTGGTTACAAGTACTTCTGGCAGTTTGGGAGACACACAGATGATGATCAAACTAAATGTAAATTATGTGATCAGGCATATGGTCACTCTCTTGAACACTATGTGCTTAATTGTCCACTTATTGAGGAATACAGAGACAGACAGTATAATAACCTATGTGACATGTCAAGATATCTTATTAATGAAAATAAGATACCAGATATACTAAGCAAATTTCCTAAATTTGCTTGTAACAGATAAGTGAACTATAGATATGTAGATATAAATCCATATGTATTCCTGTTAACCCTTTGGGGCCTAGTTCCTAGGCCTTTTGTGTATCCATATGCTCTCGCGCTACCGTCCACAGGATGGATATGGGGTGCACAATAAACTAGCCACTTCGGTGGCAAAATCTAAAAAAAAATAGTGGCTTTGGTTGTTACAAGGCCTCATGAGAATGGGATGAATGAGTGCTTTTAATTTGCTACTAACACACACTTTTTTTTTTTAACACTTTGGCCGTCTCCCACCGGGGCAGGGTGACCCAAAGCAGAAAGGAACAGTTTCACCGTCATTCAACACTTTTACCATCATTCACACATAATCACTGTCTTTGCAGAGGCGCTCAGATATGACAGTTTAGATGTTGCTCCAAAAAGCCAATATCCCAAACCCCTCCTTTAAAGTGCAGGCATTGTACTTCTCACCTCCAGAACTCAAGTCCAGCTAACCAATTTTTATGAATCCCTTCACAGAATATCACCCTGCTCACACACCAACAGCTCATCAGGTCCCGAAAATCATTCGTTTCCATTCACTCCTATCTAACACACTCACACATGCCTGCTGCATGTCCAAGCCCCTTGCACACAAAAGCTTTTTTTTTTTTTTTTTTACCCCTTCCCTTCATCCTTTCCTTAAATGACCCCTACTCCTTCGCTACAGATTTATACACCCTCCAAGTCATCCTATTTTGCTCCATCCTCTCTAAATGACCATACCACCTCAACAACCCCTCTTCAGCCCTCTGAATAATACTTTTAGTAACTCCACACCACCTAATTTCCACACTATGAATTTTCTGCATAATATTTACACCACATATTGCCCTTAGACACGATATCTCCAAAGACTCCAGCCTCCTCCTTGCTGCAACATTTACAACCCATGCTTCACACCCATATAAGAATGTTGGTACCGCTATACTCCTGTACATTCCCTTCTTTTATCTATATTCACTTCTTTAAATTTGTTACAATGGGTAACATTTTTTGTCATTACAGATACCTCAGTTCACCACTCACCTTTTTTCCTTCATCAGTTCTGTTGTTAACCGTGTCTTTCATAAACCCATCTGCTGATAAGTCTGCTCCCATATATATGAACACATTCACTTCTTCCATACTCCCTCCCTCCGATGTAATATTCAGTTTTTCTCTAGCTCATTTGATACCTTCATTACCTTAGTCTTATCTGTGTTCACTTTTAACTTTCTTCCTTTACACACTGGAGTTAAAACTTTGACAGTGTTTGTCCTCCCTGTACCATTAACACATTTGTTTTTATTTTTTCAACAAACCGGCCATATCCCACCAATGCAGAGTGGCCCAAAAAGAAAAATGAAAGTTTCTCTTTTTAAATTTAGTAATTTATACAAGAGAAGGGGTTACTAGCCCCTTGCCCCCGGCATTTTAGTTGCCTCTTAAAACACGCATGACTTACGGAGGAAGAATTCTGTTCCACTTCCCCATGGAGATAAGAGGAAATAAACAAGAACAAGAACTAGAAAGAAAATAGCAGAAAACCCTGAGGGGTGTGTATATATATGCTTGTGCATGTATGTGTAGTGTGTCCTAAGTGTAAGTAGAAGTAGCAAGACATACCTGAAATCTTGCATGTTTATGAGACAGAAAAAAGGACACCAGCAATCCTACCATCACGTAAAACAATTACAGGCTTTCCTTTTACACTGACTTGGCAGGATGGTAGTACCTCCCTGGGCAGTTGCTGGACAGCTTACTGCTGCCATTGTTTGATTAGCCTGATTGTGAAGGCTATGTGGGCCAGTGGGATACTTGTAGAAACAACTGTGTTGACCAGGACATCCTGGCCTCAGGCCAGGATATCAAGTTTAGAATGGCCCTTGAAACTGATTATAATGGTTCAGGATTGACCAATGTGTATAACATTTATTTCTGATTTGTGGGTTAGTTATGAACTCTTCCAGTCATGGTATCGACTTATTTTGTTACTATACTCCATTTCTGGAGACTTTAAACTATGTATACTTGAAGTATACCTGGAGCATGTTTTTGGGGTCAACACCCTCATGGCCCAGTCCATGACCAGACATCTTGATCAGAATCTGATCAACCTGGCTGTTACTGCTGGCCGCAGACAAACCGACATACAAACCACAGCTCGGCTGGTCAGGTACTGAGTTTGGATGTCTTTCCAGCTCCCTCTTCAAGACAGCCAGAGGTTTATTGGCAGTCCCTCTTATGTATGCTGGAAGGCTGTCAAACAATATTGGGCCCCCTGACACTTATTATGGTCTCTTGGTGTACTCGTGGTACCCCTGCCTCTCATTGGATGGATGTTGCACTTCCTGCCGAGTCTTTTGCTTTCATAGGGAGTGATTTCTGTATGCAGATTTGGGATTTGTCCCCTCTAGAATTTTCAAAGTGTATTTTATGATATATCTTTCTTGCCTGCATTCCAAGGAGTACAGGTCAAGGGACTTCAGCCATTTTCAGTAATTGAGGTGCTTTACTGTACTTATATGTGCAGGTACTTATTCGTATGGGTGTGAAGCATGAGTTATAAACGTTGTAGTGAGGAGGAGGCTGGAAGCAATGGAGATGTTGTATCTGAAGGCAATGAATTGTGTGAATATTATGCAGAGAATTCTTAGTTTTGAGATCAGGAGGAGGTGTGAGGTTATGAAGAATATTATCCAGAAGGCTGAGGAGGGATTGTTGAGGCAATTTGGATTTTAGAGAAGATGGAGCAAAGTAGGATAGCTTGAAGGGTGTAAAACTGTAGTTGAGGGAAGAAGGGGCAGGATTCATCTTAGGAAAGATTGGAGAGAGGGTGTAAAGGAGGTTTTGTGTACAAGGGGCTTGGATATCCAACAGTCTTGTGTGAGAGTATTATATAGGATTGAGTGGAGGCAAGTAGTTTTTATAACTAGACATGCTGTTGAATTGTGAGCAGGGTAACATTTATGAAGGGATTCAGGGGAAACCTAATAGAGGAGGGCCTTACTTTACGGTGTTTTGCTAATACGGACGTTTCAGATTACATCCCAAAATTCATTTATGTGGCTCCTGATTTTTTTATTGCAGTATCTGCACACCACTCTGTGAGCTCCATGTCTCTCAATTATATCTGGAGACTTTCCAAAGTTTCAAGTGTTTTAAAATTATTGCGTATTTTATATATACAGTGGACCCCCGGTTCACGATATTAATCTGTTCCTGAGAGCTCATCGTAAACCAAAATTATTGGAAAGCGAATCAATTTTCCTCATAAGAAATAATGGAAATCAAATTAATCTGTGCAAGACACCCAAAAGTATGAAAAAAAAACTTTTACCACATGATATATTAAGTTTAATGCAATATAATAATTACAATAATAATAATAACAATAGAATAATCACAGTAGAATAATTGACACTTACCTTTAATGAAGATCTGGTGATGATTGATGGGATGGGAGGAGGGGAGAGTGTCAAAGTTTTTAATGTTTAGAAAGGGAATCCCCCTCCATTAGGACTTGAGATAGCAAGTCCTTTTCTGGGGTTACTTCCCTTCTTCTTTTAATGCCACTAGGGCCAGCTTGAGAGTCACTGGACTTCTGTCGCACAACATATCTGTCCATAGTGGCCTGTACCTCTCGTTCCTTTGTGACTTTCCTAAAGTGGTTCACAACATTGTCAGTGTACAGGTTGCCAACACGGCTTGCAGTAGCTGTGTCAGGGTGATTTTCATCAAAAAAGGTTTGCACTTAAAGCCACTTTGCACACATTTCCTTAATTTCAATAGTCATTAGCACCCTTGGTCTCGATGAGTTGGCACTAGAAGCTTTCTTGGGGCCCATGGTTACTTATTTTGCAGAAAAAAGCACCAAAAACAGTGATAATATGGATAATATTGAATGTACCGAATGTATCCTTAGATGCGTGCACACTGGCTGGCTTGTAAACACTGGACACGTCTCGTATGAATCGTATCGTATACCGAGTTTTGTAACGGGAACCGAGGCAATTTTTTTGCGATATAATGCTTCGGATACCGGATTTATCGGATACCGATGTCTTCGTGAACCGGGGGTCCACTGTGCTCTGATAATTGTACTTATTCTTCATGGGGAAGTGGAACAGAATTCTTCCTCCTTAAGCCATGTGTGTTGTAGGAGTTGACTAAAATGCCAAGAGCAGGGGACTAATAACGCCTTCTCCTGTATAAATTACTAAATTTAAAAAAAGAAAATTTCGTTTTTCTTTTTGGGCCACCCTGCATCAGTGGGATACGGCCCATTTGTTGGAAGAATTGTACTTATGTATACCCGTACCTAAATAAACTGATGTGCAGTTTCATTAAAATCACTAAGAGTGTCCATTTCATGTCCATTTCTTGGGTATCCATTTCACATCCATCCACACCCACTCATAAGAACACAAGAAAGAAGGAACACCGCAGCAGGCCCACTGACCCACACGAAGCTGGTCCATCCCCCCTCCATTCCCAATTAGCTCAATGACCCACCTAGTCAGGTCACTTCCACTTAAGGAAGAAGCATGGCATCAGACCTAGTAGCACAAGCTAGTCAGGTCCAACTCACACCCACCCACACCCACTCATGTATTTATCTAACCTATTTTTAAAACTACACGTTTTAGCCTCTATAACTGTACTGAGGAGTTTGTTCCACTCATCCACAACTCTGTTACCAAACCAGTGCTTTCCTATATCCTTCCTGAATCTGAATTTTTCCAACTTGAAACCATTGCTGCAAGTCCTGTCTTGGCTGGAAATTTTCAGCATGCTATTTACATCCCCTTTATTTATTCCTGTTTTCCATTTATACACCTCGATCATATCTTCCCTAATTCTACGCCTTTCGAGAGAGTGCAGATTCAGGGCCCTCAATCTATCCTTATAGGGAAGATTTCTGATACATGGGATCAACTTTGTCATTCTCCTCTGTACGTTTTCCATTGCATTTATTTCCATTCTATAATACGGTGACCAGAACTGTGCAGCATAATCTGAATGAGGCCTAACCAAGGATATATAGAGTCGAAGAACAACCTGAGGACTTCCATTATTTATACTTCTAGATATGAAACCAAGGATTCTGTTAGCTTTATTGTGAACACTAATGCACTGTTGTCTTGGTTTTAGATTACTGCTAACCAGAGCTCCTAAATCCTTTTTGTAATCAGTAGTATTAAGATCTACATTATTTAGTTTATATGTCGCATGGTTATTTTCCTGTCCAACATTTATAACTTTGCATTTGTCTATATTAAACTGCATCTGCCACTTCTCCGACCATTACATCAATCTATTCAAATCATCCTGGAGTGCTCTAGTGTCCTCATTAGAATGAATTGGACGCCCTATTTTGGTGTCATCAGCGAATTTGCTTATGTCACTATTTATTCCCTCATGTTGTTTATGTAAATTGTGAACAGCAACGGGCCCAACACTGACCCCTGTGGAACACCGCTTGTGACGTACCTCATTCTGATTTCTCCCCATTTACACAAACTCTCTGCTGCCTATTTGTCAGCCATGCCTCTACCCAGGAAAAAATTTCTCCTCCTATTCCGTGTGCCTTAAGTATCCTCAATAGCCTCTGATGTGGAACTCTATCGAAAGCCTTACTGAAGTCCATATACACAATATCATATTCATTACCATGATCTACCTCCTCAAACACCTTAGTGAAAAAAGTTAGTAAATTCGTAAGACAGGAATGCCCCTTTGTAAAACTGTGTTGAGGTTCATTAATCAATTTATGCCTATCAAAATGGCTACGAATTGCTTCGGCAATTATTGATTCCATAAATTTTCCCACTGTGGAGGTAAGGCTTATTGGTCTATAGTTCGAAGCCAGTTTGTAGTGATATGTTGAAAAGATTTGCCAAAGGTATGCTAAGTTCCTCTTTACATTCCTTTAGCACCCTTGCAAACAGTTCATCAGGGCCTGGGGATTTGTTAGGTTTTAATTTCTCAATTTGTCTGAGGACCATGTCACTAGTTACCGCAATCGTGCATAGTTTAACATCATCCTGTTCTACATAATCTATTATTTCTGGAATTTCGCTAGTATTTTCCTGGGTAAAAACTGAGTGGAAGTAGGTATTGAAAATTTCACACATATCCTTATCACTGTCAGTGATCTGACCAGAGTTACTCTTAAGTGATAGTGTAAACATATTATCAGGCATTTATATGCATTTCAAAGTGATTCACATTACTGTGGTAGCCTGGAACCTAACCCATCATATAAGCAGTACCCTCCTGTAGCTGGACTTGAGTCCTGTGGGTGGGAAGTACAGTGCCTGCACTCTGAAGGGAAGGGGTAAGGATATTGCAATTTGGAGGGGTATCTGAGGTGTAGTGTTGGCATGCTTCAGGCATGACAAAGCTTGAGTGAGTGATAGTGAAAATGTTTTTTTCTTTTTCAGGTCACCTATCTTGGTGGGAAATGGCCTGTGTTAAAAAAATGGAAGATGGATGAACTCTTCCATTTTTTTTTTCTCAACATAGGCAGTTTCCCGCCAAGGTAGGGTGACATGAAAAAGAAGAAACATTTTCACTATCACTCGCTCGCTCGATCACCATCATGCCCCTCCAAACTGCAATAGCCTTACCTCTTCCTTTCAGAGTCCAGCTACAGGAGGACCCTGCTTATATAGCAGGTTAGGTTCCAAGCTACTGCACCTGCACCCAATCTGAGTCATATTCTACAGCCCAGCTTATTGAGGATCAAGGGGATACTTACCTGAAGCTTGAAGATTATTACTATGAATAACAGAGCAAGTCTGGGCAAATTTATGTGGAGCTCAAACCAAGTGACTTTTCTTGAATGGCTATAGTGATGTCAGGTGTATCCTTGATCCCTTGCAGGAAGCACTGTGTAACATTCTATTTTTTGTATACATGTATTCAATGCAGTGTTTTCTTGTTTTTTCCTCTTCCTTTTTGCATCATCAGGGTGAAAATGTAATAAAAAGGAGTCGGAGGGGTCTTCCTGCTGTGCAGTGACTGTCTTCACTCGATCTGAAGAGTTGTTTAGCAGTTTAAACAAAACTACCTTTCCTCTTCCAGTGTTTTTATGTGATATGATTCCTGACATCATTTTATAGCTGCTTCCTCAATATTTGTTTGCTGTTGTTACAGACCATAGTGGGCAGTCAGAATCTTACTGCAGAATATGTAGTTTTAAGAATGATGAACTTTTTTTTATGCAGGAGTTTGATGGCCCATGGGAAACCACTGCTACCTCATGCTGTTTTGTGTTACTTGTTAATTGGAGATTAATAATGAGTGTTGTGTGTGTTAAGTGGTGCCTAGAGAGGCAGCTGGAAACATGAATGTGTGCTGGTTAGTGGACCATCAGGCCCTGATACAGAAATATCATTTTTGTTTTTTTAAACTATATACTGTACAGTATGATTACCAATTTTCAATTTCTTGTTGAAATATTTTTTTGTAAGAATTTTTTTTTATTAGATAGCAAAATTTACCTGAATGGGTAAATTATCTTGACATCGTATGAGGTATTCACAGGGCTTATGTACTGTACCAAGAGTGTTTGCTCTCTAACTTTTTATATTGATATATTTTGTTTCAAAATTTTCAGCTTTAATGTTTTTCTTAGAAATTTTTAACCTATATTGTTTTTCAACAGGCTGTTGATGATGCTGTTGCTTTTGTTAAGGGAGAAAGTTCTAAAATAAGCAGTGATAGGGATAAGGACTTACTTGAAGGTGTAAGAAATGCATGGAATAATCCCAATTTGTCAAAGGATGATAAGTGGCTTGCTGATTTTTTTGTCAATAAAAGGTATGTGATTTTGTGTCTTTTAATAATTTTAAATTAGTTAAATGCTGATGTGAACTTTCCTAACAATATACAATATATTAAATAAGTAACATGAGTCAAGGAAGGATGCATTCTTAATTTGAGGTTACTGTTTGAAATCAAGGAGGAAATATTCAATGTAAATATTTTGTTCCCACTTAGGAAAAATGATAGTCCAATATTGAAAAAGTTATTTTGTACTGGTATGCAACAACTATTGTTTGTGGGATGAGGCTGAAAAATATAACCAAGACAAGTTGGAATGTAGGAGAGGAAGATTAACCCTTTGAGGGTTTTCGTCGTACTAGTACGTCTTACGCGTAGGGGTTTTTGACGTACTAGTACTCATAAATTCTAGCGGCCTCAAATCTAGTGGGAGAAAGCTGGTAGGCCTTCATATGAAAGAATGGGTCTATGTGGTCAGTGTGCACAGTCTAAAAAAAATCCTGCAGCACACAGTGCATAATGAGAAAAAAAAAACTTTGACCATTTTTTTTTAATAAATCAGCGACTTTGCAGTGTATTTTCGTATGGTATTTATTGTTGTATTCTAGTTTTCTTGGTCTCATTTTATAGAATGGAAGACATATTACAGAAATTGAGATGATTTTGACTGGTTTTACAAAGAAAGGTGCCTTGAAATTGAGCTCAAAGTAGCAGAAATGTTCGATTTTTACCAAACTTCAAAAGTAAACAAATCGTGCCAAGCGTGCAATACACGTCAACTGGTGAGTCTAATATTCTTTCACAAGTGCACCAATAATATTTATACCATTTTTTACACTAATGCAGTAGTCTGCATAACAGTAAATCATATTTTTTGTGAAAATAAAAATTCAAACTGGAAAGCAAAAGAATATAAGAGGGGCCTTGAGACATGACTAATGACTAGAGAAAATGTCATTTTAGTGCCAGGAATGTCTTTCTTGTTTATTCTGGACCCTATTCGGAAATTGGCATCTTTTGAAATTTGTGTGAAATTGGCAAATTGCTAAATTCTGACCACTGTACTGGATAGTTGTATTTCATAAATGAGTGGTTTCTTGCACCCATTCGATAGAAAAAATGGAGTTCTAGCGGAATATTCATGTTTTTTGTCGACTAGTACAGTGAAATTGGCCGAAAATGGGGCTCAAAGTGGGCAAAATCGCCGATGCGTCAACATCGCCGAGACCGCTAACTTTGCGAGAGCATAATTCCATAAGTTTTCTATCAAATTTCAAACTTTTGGTGTCTTTATGATCGGGAAAAGATTCTCTATCTTTTCATAAGAGAAAATAATTTTTTTTTTTTTTAAATTTGGCCGACCCTGAGAACGAGTTTCGGAGAGGGCCTGTCGACCCTCAAAGGGTTAAAGCAATATAATGCTGTAATTTAGAGAAATGTTGAAGTATAATGGAAGGATTTAACACAGTGCTTTGTAGACATCAAAGGGCACAGTTAGTTCAATGAAATGACATAATAAAATTGCAGTAAACTGTTAATTAGATGATAGTTACAGTCCTTAAAGGGCATCTGATAAGAAAATAGTGTACAGTTAACTGAGAAACATGTGGGAAAAATAGGGTTAAATTCCTCAGACACCCCAAAAATGCGAGACAAATTTTTTTAGATCAGAATTATGAAAAAAAATATAATGTAATTGTAGGTGGCTACAAAGGTTACATAAATATCTTTTACTTTTTACGACCGTTTTTTGTAATTAAAATGCCAACTTTGTGGCCTATTTTCGTATAGTATTTATGGTTGTATTCTCGTTTTGGGAAATGGGAATGGGAATGGGAAACATATTATAGAAATAGAGGTGATTTTGACTGGTTTTGCTATGAAAAGAATCTTGAAATGGATCTCAAAGTAGGGGAAATGTTTGATTTTTGCCAATGTTCAAAAGTAAAGAAATGATGTCATTTTCCAATAAATGTCCAAGTAGTCATTCTAATATGCAGTCATGAATCGGTTGACATTATTTATACAATTATTACAATATTGCAGTAGTCTGCATAACAGTAACTTCTATTTTTTTGTTTGAATAAAAATTCAAAATAGAAAGCAAGAGTAATATCAGAGGGGCCTGGAGACATGACTGATGAAGAAAGAAAATGTTATTTTAGAGCCAGGAATGTCTGCATTGTTCGTTCTGGACCCTGTTATGAAATTGTCATATTTTTTAATTTTCGTGAAATTGGCCAAATTGGAAATCTCTGACCACGTTATTGGGTAGTTGAAATCAGTAAATGGACAGTTTCTTGTACTCAGTCGATAGAAAAAATGGAGTTCTAAAGAAATAGCTATGAGTTTGGTCGACTGGAACAATGGAATTAGCTGAAAATAGGACTCAAACTGGGTGAAATCGCCAATTCGTAAATATCGCCGAGGCCGCTAACTTCGCAAGAGCGTAATTCCGTCAGTTTTCCATCAAATTTCGTTCTTTTGGTGTCATTACAATCGGGAAAAGATTTTCTATCATTTCATAAGAAAAAATAATTTTTTTTTCTCGGAAATTTTGTGACACCAGGAGACACCTCAGGATTTGGGGTTGCAACAGTGAAGGGGTTAAGCCAGTATTGGTCCTGTAGTGTGATGCCATGAGCTCAGCTCACTCAGATAAGATGTGAGCAGTAAATTTGGACCCTGATACGAGAGAATGGGTCTGTGTGGTAAGTGTGCACCATATAAAAAAAAATCCTGCAGCATGCAGTGCATAATGAGAAAAAAACTGGTATGGTGTTTTTGTTTTAAAACAGGGACTTTGCAGTGTATTTTCATATGGTTTTTATGGTTGAATTCTTGGTTTCTTGGTCTCATTTGATAGAATGGAAGATATATTATAGAAATAGAGATGATTTTAAAAGTAGCTTAAAATTAAGCTAAAAGTAGCAGAAATGCTCGGTTTTTGCCGATATTCCAGAGTAAACAAATGATGTCACTTGTCCAATACAAGTTCAACTGGCCAGTCTAATACACATTTAGGAATGTACTGACATTATTTATAGAATTACAATGCAATAGTCTGCATAAAAGTAAATGTTTATTTAGTGCCAGGAATGTCTACATTGTTTATTCTGGACTCTTTTAAATTGACTATTGTTTAATTTTATGTGAAATTGGCCAAATTACCAATTTCTGGTCACTTTATTGGGTAGTTGAAATAGGTAAATAGTAGGTTTCTTGTACTCATTTGATAGACTAGGAGGAATACAAGCAAAATAGCTGTGAGATTGGTTTAATGGAACAACGGAATTGGCCAAAAATAGAGCATAAAGTGGGTAAAATTGCCAGTGCGTAAATATCGCTGAGACTATTAACTTTGCAAGGGCATAATTCCGCAAGTTTTGCATAAAATTTGTACAAGAATGGTATACAGTACCAACAAGATGAAAACTGAGACACTTGTGCAACATCTAGGCTTCTTTATTGTAGACGTTTCACCATCCAGTGGCTTTATCAATGCAAATTCAAGGACATAATTTGAAGACAGTAGAACTATATACAAAAGATGGGGTAGTCAGTCCCTCAGCCTTGGAATTGGTGTGAAGAGCACCATTGTCGTGAAGATTCTGGAGCAGAGGCAAGGAGACTGGTGGTTATATAATAACGCCAGGTGGATTGGGATGAGTAGCAGATGAGGGCATAGTCACTGGTAGGCGGGATTCCCAGTGGAAGTAGGTCATACCCAAAAGGATGGGTAAGTTGTAGTAGCCATGAAGAAGGTCATGTAGATGTCCTTTGAACCAAGATTCCATGATGTTGCAGTGTCTGACAAGTTGTACAAGAATGGTATACAATATCAACAAGATGAAAACTGAGACACACGTGCAACATCTGGGTATCTTTATTGTAGATGTTTCACCATCCAGTGGCGAAATGGTTTGGAAATGGTTTTGCAACTTATTTGAAAAGTAGATAGCTGTGGGTCGTCTGGTTCTTCTGTGAACCCCATTCATAGTTTCATCAGCTGATACCATGTATTTCACTATACAAATTTTATCATTTATAATGTTAGCAAGAAAGAATTTTATTGTATTTTAAATTCCTTGTTCCATTACTTATTAATAAAGAAGTGTTTGAGGATGGTTATGTAGGTACTGAGCAGTAGATGACCAAATGTTGTTTGTATTATATCAGGCGATGTCATTCATGAATTTGATGATGATGCCATTACACCTTTTCTTACACAAGTTTATCATTTGTAATAGTAACATAAAAGAATTTTACCATAACCAACATTCCCTGCTCTCTTCCATATTGATGCACAAGTATGTGTAGATAGTTATGTTGCTTATTGGTTGTGGTTCATCTGTTTGAACAGAGCATGTCATCACACTTAACCATTTCAGGTCGGGACCTCTGATCTGAAACTTGCTCTCAGGGTTGGAGAATCCCCCCCCCCCCCCAATTCTTATGAAATGATAGAGAATCTCTTTTCCAAAGATAATTAAACCAAAATTATGAAACTTGATGGAAATGTTGCTGAGACCACTATGCAGTCTTGGCGATGTTTACACATTGCAATTTTTCCCACTTTGAGCCTTATTTTTGGCCAATTCCTTTGTTCCAGTCAGCTAATCTCATAGCTATTTCACTAGTATTCCTTCTATTCTATTGATTGAGTACAAGAAACTGCCCAGTTACCTATTTCAACTACCCAATAAAGTGATCAGATATTGGTAATTTGACCAATTTTACATGAGATTGAAAAATTGCCAATTTCAAAATAGGATCCAGAATAAACAATGTAGACATTCATGGCACTAAAACAACATTTCCTCCGTTCGTTAGTCACATGCTCAGGCCTCTCCTATATTACACTTCCATTTTGAATTTTTATTCACACAAAAAATAGAAGATTTACTGTTACGCAGACTACTGCATTATTGTAGTTGTATAAATAATGTCGATGCATTTGCAGACACGTATTACACTGATAAATATCCATCATCGTCGTCGTCATCATCGTCATCATCATCATCATCATCATCATCATCATTATTATTATTATTATTCTTAGTCGGCTGTCTCCCACTGAGGCAGGGTGACCCAAAAAACAAAGAAAATCCCCGAAAAGAAAATACAGTGGACCCCCGCATACCGTCGGCATCACATAACGTTCAATCCGCATACCGCTCGCTTTTATCGCAAAAATTTTGCCTCGCATACCGCTCAAAAACCCACTCACCGCTCTTCGTCCGAGACGCGTCCAATGTGCGCCCTTAGCCAGCCTCACATGTGCCGCCGGTGGCATTGTTTACCAATCAGCCTCCGCGGTAACATCCAAGCATACAATCGGAACATTTCGTATTATTACAGTGTTTTTGGTGATTTTTATCTGCAAAATAAGTGACCATGGGCCCCAAGAAAGCTTCTAGTGCCAACCCTACAGCAATAAGGGTGAGAATTACTATAGAGATGAAGAAAAAGATCATTGATAAGTACGAAAGTGGAGTGCGTGTCTCCGAGCTGGCCAGGTTGTATAATAAACCCCAATCAACCATCGCTACTATTGGTGGTACAGCTGCTGCTGCTGCTGTACCACCGTCAGCTGCTGCTGCTGTAGTACCGTCTGCTGCTGCTGTAGTACCGTCTGCTGCTGCTGTAGCATCGTCTGCTGCTGCTGTAGCACTGTCAGCTGCTGCTGCTGCTGTACCACCGTCAGCTGCTGCTGTAGTACCGTCTGCTGCTGCTGTAGCATCGTCTGCTGCTGCTGTAGCACTGTCAGCTGCTGCTGCTGCTGTACCACCGTCAGCTGCTGCTGTAGTACCGTCTGCTGCTGCTGTAGCATCGTCTGCTGCTGCTGTAGCACTGTCAGCTGCTGCTGCTGCTGCTGCTGTAGCACTGTCAGCTGCTGCTGCTGCTGCTGTAGCACCATTGTTGGTGTGGCTTATTGAGAATACCAAGAAACAATTAACCCCAGAGGATTTGCCACCCAGGATAACCCAAAAAAGTCAGTGTCATCGAAGACTGTCTAACTTATTTCCATTGGGGTCCTTAATCTTGTCTCCCAGGATGCAACCCACACCAGTCGACTAACACCCAGGTGAACAGGGAAAAATGCCTGGAACTAGTGCTCATATTGGTGAATTTAAAGCCAGCAAAGGTTGGTTTGAGAGATTTAAGAATCGTAGTGGCATACACAGTGTGATAAGGCCTGTTCTGGAAGAAAATGCCAAACAGGACCTACAGTACTCAGGAGGAAAAGGCACTCCCAGGACACAGTGTCTCATCAGTCATTGCTGCATCTTCAATAAAGGTAAGTGTCATTTATTCTTCATTTAGTAGAGTAGTACATGCACAATATATATTGTGCATGTACTACTCTACTATTGTGCATGTATCCTTCTCTTTGTGTGTAGGAAAATGTATATTTCATGTGGTAAAAATTTTTTTTTCATACTTTTGGGTGTCTTGCACGGATTAATTTGATTTCCATTATTTCTTATGGGGAAAATTCATTCGCATACCGATCATTTCGCATAACAATGAGCCCTCTTGCACGGATTAAAGTCGCTATGCGGGGGTCCACTGTACTTTAATCATCATTCAACATGTAGACAGCTTGTACTGTCTGCACAGACAGCCTGTGCTGTCTGCCAGCTTGGTTCATATTTCGTGGCACTCAGGTGCTGCCCTCTCTAGGCCTGCCCAGGTCAGTGGGACGCTGGTCCCACTCGCACTCACTCACTCACTCAGCGGCCTAGACTCAGACATCAGTCCTACTCCCTCTCTCCCTCGTGGGCATGGTCCTCCCGGGCCATGGGCACAAACACACAAGCCTGTGTACCCACCATGACTTTGCAGATAAAGAAAGAAGCCTCCAAAGACGTTTATCATTGAACCCCCGCTACCAAGACATCCGCCAATAAACCTATAAAACAAACACTTTCACCTCGTACATAATCACTGTCTTTGCAGAGGCACCCAGATAAAACACTTGAGAAGCACGTATAAAGATACTATATAGCATATCCCTCCAAACTGTCAATATCCCAAACCCCTCCTTTAAAGTGCAGGCATTGTACTTCCCATTTCCAGTACTCAAGTCCGGCTATATAAAAATAACCGTTTCCCCAAATCCCTTCACTAAATATTACCCTGCTCACATTCCAACAGCTCGTCAGGTCCCAAAAACCATTCATCTCTATTCACTTCTATCTAACACGCTCACACATGCTTGCTGGAAGTCCAAGCCCCTCGCACACAAAGCCTCCTTTACCCCCTCCTTCCAACCTTTTCGAGGACGACCCCTACCCCACCTTCCTTCCCCTACAGATTTATATGCTCTCCAAGTCATTCTACTTTGATCCAGTCTCTCTAAATGACCACACCACCTCAACAACCCCTCTTCAGCCCTCTGACTAATACTTTTACTAACTCCACACCTCCTCCTAATCTCTATACTACGAACTCTCTGCATAACATTTACACCACACATTGCCCTTGGACACGACATCTCTACTGCCTCCAGCCGCCTCCTTACTGCAGCGTTTACAACTATGCTTCACACCCATATGAGGGTGTTGGTACCACTATACTCTCAACAAACCGGCTACATATATGTAAAAAAAAAAAACTTTCCAGTTTCTTGTACGGTGAACACCACAGTGTGCAGGAACCACTGTTTAACCCCTTGACTGTCGCAACCCCCAATCTTGAGGTGTCTCCTGGTGTCGCAAAATTTAAAAAAAAAATTGTTTTTTTCTTATGAAATGATAAAGAATCTTTTCTCGATTGTAATGACACCAAAAAAACTAAATTTGATGGAAAACTGATGGAATTATGCTCTCGCGAACTTAGCGACCTCGGCGATATTTACAAATAGGCGATTTCTCCCACTTTGAGCCCAATTTTCGGCTAATTCCGTTGTTCCAGTCGGCCAAACTCATAGCTATTTCTTTAGAACTCCATTTTTTCTATCGATTGAGTACAAGAAACTGCCCATTTACCGATTTCAACTACCCAATAATGTGGTCAGAAATTTGCAATTTGGCCAATTTCATGAAAATTAAAAAATATGACAATTTCAAAATAAGGTCCAGAATGAACAGTGCAGACATTCCTGGCTCTAAAATAACATTTTCTTTGTTCATCAGTCATGTCTCCAGGCCCCTCTGACATTACTCTTGCTTTCTATTCCGAATTTTTATTCAAACAAAAAATAGAAGACTTACTATTATACAGACTACTGCAATACTGTAATAATTGTATAAATAACATCAACCCATTCATGGCTGCATATTAGAATGGCTAGTTGGACATTTATTGGACAATGACATCATTTGTTTACTTTTGAACATTGGAAAAAATCAAACATTTCCCCTACATTGAGCTCCATTTCCAGGTTCTTTTTATAGTAAAATCAATCAAAATCACCTCTATTTCTATAATATGTTTTCCATTCTATCAAATGAGACCAAGAAAACGAGAATACAACCATAAATACTATACGAAAATAGACCACGAAGTTGGCATTTTAATTAAAAAAAACGGTTGGAGTTTTTTTTTTCTCATTATGCACTGCGTGCTCCAGGATTTTTTTTATATGGTGCACACTGACCACACAGACCCATTCTCTCACATGTGGGCCTACCAGCTTTCTCCTGCTTGATTTGAAGCCGCTAGAATTTGAGTATATATACGTCAAACACGGTACCTTGTAAGACGTATATATACGGCCGCGACAGTCAAAGGGTTAATAATCAACAACTTGTGGAAAAATTTGTTACAGTAGCATGTTTACATTTGGAAGGAGCTGCCAGATAAAAAACTGAGTGCATGCAACTTAAGTTTCTTTTTTCTGCATCATTCAGTGGGATGCAGCCAAAAACATTTGGGCAGGGTTTGTCAGATTACCACCTCCTTCAAGTTCAATAGGCTACCAGGTTGAGGGATCTGGTTGTATGCCTGTAAATTATTCAGATTCAAATAGGTATTTATTTGTACTGCTCCTGTATCTACAAATCAATAATCACATGCTAGTAACAAGCTAATGTGAATATTTTTTGACTACTAGTGTTTAACTTACAGATACCTTGATGATGATGATGAGACCATTGAACGTGCATATAATGAAGTTATCATTGATGAAGAACCATTATCAGACGATGAAAAGACACTGGAAAAGATGGAAAGTTTTGAATCATTGTATCGATTCAGGTAAGTGAACATGGAAGTAAAAGCTGAAGCATGATGTAAGCTTAGTCAGTGTTTGTTAACCCTTAAACTGTCCTAACATAGACCTACGTTCAATCACATAGCTCCCTGAATGTAGAGATCTATGTTCGGAGTGCTACTTGAGCGAACGTAGATCTATGTTTGGACAGTTTAAGGGTTAAAGTAGTCTTGCTGAACAAAAATATGAAAGATGGGAAATGGTCATAATTTTAAGAATATTTGGTGTGAACAGTTAAAAAGCTGCTGGCTTGGATTCCTTGGTAAAGGAATCCAAGCTGCTTGTGAGAGCTCCAACAGAATGGATTGAAATAATTGTTGCTGTTAAATATGTAATGTTCTGTACATGGAGCTATCAAATGCATTTAGGTACTCCAAGGCAAACTTTGACATTGATAGTGTTAATGTGTTTGTTAGTGCTGTATAAAGTATTATATTGTATGTTCTTAGCGTAAGTGGTTTTCTTTTTTCAGTAATGGAAGCATAGTAGTTTTTTTTTTATAGTAATGTCCAGGGTTTATTACCTGGACCTCAGCAGTGAGAGTTGCCTCATGTTTATTCATTAATATAAGTTATCAGTTGCTTTTTTTTTAATGATTACAGGAATCAGTCTGGTCTTGGACATTAATGTGACAAGAGAAAAATAATTGACGAGAGAAACTGTAAAGTTTCTTGACTTTCTTCCTATCATTCTTTTATCGTACTTGGGTAACCTATACTCTTCCTTTTATATAACTTGTTTTGATTGTGTCAGCACTAGGTTTTAGCTTATGATGGCTTTCCTTTATCACTGTTGCAAATGGCGTATACACTCCAACAAGTAGGTAAGACATTAACATTGCAATGAACTATAGCATAATCTTATTTATGATAATATTTCAAATGCCTTTTGTTTTCACTTAGGTACGAAGAACCAGATCAAGAATTTACGAAGCGCTATCCTCGAGTAATTCCCAAATCTTTGCGCGCAAAAGATGAGAGAAGAAAACGCATGCATAAAGCTGTCAAACAGCGTAAAAAAGAGGAAAAGGAAATGAGGCGAATAGCGATTGAAAAGTTGAAGGCTTTGAAATATAAAGAAATTGAAGCTAAGATAGAAAAAATTAAAGAAGTATCAGGAAACATGGATATTGATCTTGGGGTGAGCTTGCATGAACTGTATATATGATTTCTGAAACTATTTATTACTCTCATTTTATGTCTTTTCTCACCTATATTCTAGCTTTCTTACTTGCAATCCAGTATCCCACAAGTGCTGACTTATTGATATACCAAACTTGTCTATGGTCATCTCATAGATCGGCATCCTGCTTTGCTAGGTGAGGATTGCTATCAAACATATAGCACATCCTGATAGAGTATCTTTGAGTACATCTTTATTTTTATTTTTATTTTGCACCCTGCTCTCTGCCAGCTCCCATTTGAATATTCAGTAATTCCTTATTTATCATGGTTTTGTTCCAGAATGTGTGTATAAGTTAAAATTACACAGTGGAAAGTAAATAACATAAAAAGCATTACTTTTAAATTTAAATGTTTCTGGCACTGTCAAGAAATTTTAATGAAAATAAGAAAAAATTTTGGAGTGAGTTAAACAAGTTAAGAAAGCCTAGGGAAAGTATGGATTTGTCAATTAAAAACAGAGTAGGGGAGTTAGTAGATGGCGAGAATATTTTGAGGAACTTTTAAATGTTAAGGAAGAAAGAGAGGCAGTAATTTCATGCACTGGTCAGGGAGGTATACCATCTTTTAGGAGTGAAGAAGAGCAGAATGTAAGTGTGGGGGAGGTACGTGAGGCATTACGTAGAATGAAAGGGGGTAAAGCAGCTGGAACTGATGGGATCATGACAGAAATGTTAAAAGCAGGGGGGGATATAGTGTTGGAGTGGTTGGTACTTTTGTTTAATAAATGTATGAAAGAGGGGAAGGTACCTAGGGATTGGTGGAGAGCATGTATAGTCCCTTTATATAAAGGGAAAGGGGACAAAAGAGACTGTAAAAATTATAGAGGAATAAGTTTACTGAGTATACCAGGAAAAGTGTACGGTAGGGTTATAATTAAAAGAATTAGAGGTAAGACAGAATGTAGGATTGCGGATGAGCAAAGAGGTTTCAGAGTGGGTAGGGGATGTGTAGATCAAGTGTTTACATTGAAGCATATATGTGAACAGTATTTAGATAAAGGTAGGGAAGTTTTTATTCCATTTATGGATTTAGAAAAGGCATATGATAGAGTGGATAGAGGAGCAATGTGGCAGATGTTGCAAGTATATAGAATAGGTGGTAAGTTATTAAATGCTGTAAAGAGTTTTTATGAGGATAGTGATGCTCAGGTTAGGGTGTGTAGAAGAGAGGGAGACTACTTCCCGGTAAAAGTAGGTCTTAGACAGGGATGTGTAATGTCACCATGGTTGTTTAATATATTTATAGATGGGGTTGTAAAGGAAGTAAATGCTAGGGTGTTCGGGAGAGGGGTGGGATTAAATTTTGGGGAATCAAATTCAAAATGGGAATTGACACAGTTACTTTTTGCTGATGATACTGTGCTTATGGGAGATTCTAAAGAAAAATTGCAAAGGTTAGTGGATGAGTTTGGGAATGTGTGTAAAGGTAGAAAGTTGAAAGTGAACATAAAAAAGAGTAAGGTGATGAGGGTGTCAAATGATTTAGATAAAGAAAAATTGGATATCAAATTGGGGAGGAGGAGTATGGAAGAAGTGAATGTTTTCAGATACTTGGGAGTTGACGTGTCAGCAGATGGATTTATGAATGATGAGGTTAATCATAGAATTGATGAGGGAAAAAAGGTGAGTGGTGCATTGAGGTATATGTGGAGTCAAAAAACGTTATCTATGAAGGCAAAGAAGGGAATGTATGAAAGTATAGTAGTACCAACACTCTTATATGGGTGTGAAGCCTGGGTGGTAAATGCAGCAGTGAGGAGACGGTTGGAGGCAGTGGAGATGTCCTGTTTAAGGGCAATGTGTGGTGTAAATATTATGCAGAAAATTCGGAGTGTGGAAATTAGGAAAAGGTGTGGAGTTAATAAAAGTATTAGTCAGAGGGCAGAAGAGGGGTTGTTGAGGTGGTTTGGTCATTTAGAGAGAATGGATCAAAGTAGAATGACATGGAAAGCATATAAATCTATAGGGGAAGGAAGGCGGGGTAGGGGTTGTCCTTGAAAGGGTTGGAGAGAGGGGGTAAAGGAGGTTTTGTGGGCAAGGGGCTTAGACTTCCAGCAAGCGTGCATGAGTGTGTTAGATAGGAGTGAATGGAGACGAATGGTACTTGGGATCTGACGATCTGTTGGAGTGTGAGCAGGGTAATATTTAGTGAAGGGATTCAGGGAAACTGGTTATTTTCATATAGTTGGACTTGAGTCCTGGAAATGGGAAGTACAGTGCCTGCACTTTAAAGGAGGGGTTTGGGATATTGGCAGTTTGGAGGGATGTGTTGTGTATCTTTATATGTGTATGCTTCTAAACTGTTGTATTCTGAGCACCTCTGCAAAAACAGTGATAATGTGTGAGTGTGGTGAAAGTGTTGAATGATGATGAAAGTATTTTCTTTTTGGGGATTTTCTTTCTTTTTTGGGTCACCCTGCCTCGGTGGGAGACGACCGACTTGTTGAAAAAAAAATATATATATTTTTTTTTTTTTTCAACAAGTCGGCCGTCTCCCACCGAGGCAGGGTGACACACATACACATTTGGACCGTTTACGGGTTAAATTAAGATGCTGTTGGCTCTTAGCTTCAATTGCCTCCCAACATACATAAGGGGGATTACCAATAGACCCCTGGCTGTCTTCTAGAAGGCGCTGGACAAGCACCTATAGTTGGTTCCTGATCAGTTTTGCTGTAATTCTTACATTGGTTTATGTGCGGCCAGCAGTAACAGCCTGACTGATCAGACCCTGATCCACCTCACGGCCTGGTCTCAGACCAGGCCGTGGGGGCATTGATCCCCGAAACCCTCTCCAGGTATACGCCAGGTATCGTAAGAGTTTTGAAAGAGTTAAGAAACTGGACAAAGTGCTGAGCACCATGGTTTGCTGTAGTGTTTTGGAATCTCAGGTTAAAGTGTTGAAGAAGGAGATTCTACTTCTTCAGGAGGAAAATAGGAGGCTGAAGCTTTGCCTAGATGGGTTTGGGAGTGAGTGTGAGATGGTTGGAGCTGGTGAGGAAATGGATACCAGCACTGAACTAAAGAGTTGCAGCTGCTTTAAGTGGTAAGTGGTTCACAATTCAGGAAGAAGGAAGATAAGGAAGGTTAATAGAGAAGATGTGAAGGTAGGAAATCAATTCTCTGTTCTCCAAGACGTGTGTACTTCAGTGGTTAGTGAGGTAAAGGGTACCACTGACTCCCCTGCTAATCGAGGCAAGAATATTCTAATTGTGGGAGACTCTCGGGTCAGATATATGGACAGAGGGTGTGCCTCCCAGGAGCTGGTGTTGGTGACATAGTCAACAGGTTGGATAATATTATGTCTGGTAATGGAAACAAGCCCATTATTTGTCTTAGTGCTGGTGGAAATAACATCGGAAAGGGGAGTAGACAGGAGCTGCTGGATAAGTACAGGTCAGCCATAGAAGTAGTCAGGTCTAAGGGAGGATTCTCAGTCATATGTAGCATCTTGCCTAGAAGGGGAGTGGGCAATGAATGGATGTGGGCAATGAATGGATAACTGTGACAAATTCTATGTATGCATAGAATGGGGTTCATCTCTTTGGGGTTGGAGTGGTTGCATTAGCCAATTTGATTGACGGGGGGTAATTAATGACTTGTCTAGGAATTTAAACTGATAGATTATAGAGGTATGGGTGTTTGTAGGAAACAATCATGCTGCAGTATTAGGGTTGAAAACAGCAGATAAGCAGATATTACCAGGATACCCTAGGGATATGTTTTATTATTTTTTTTTATTATCACACTGGCCGATTCCCACCAAGGCAGGGTGGCCCAAAAAAGAAAAACTTTCACCATCATTCACTCCATCACTGTCTTGCCAGAAGGGTGCTTTACACTACAGTTTTTAAACTGCAACATTAACACCCCTCCTTCAGAGTGCAGGCACTGTACTTCCCATCTCCAGGACTCAAGTCCAGCCTGCCGGTTTCTCTGAACCCCTTCATAAATGTTACTTTGCTCACACTCCAACAGCACGTCAAGTATTAAAAACCATTTGTCTCCATTCACTCCTATCAAACACGCTCACGCATGCCTGCTGGAAGTCCAAGCCCCTTGCACACAAAACCTCCTTTACCCCTTCCGTCCAACCTTTTCTAGGTCGACCCCTACCCCGCCTTCCTTCCACTACAGACTGATATGTTTAAAAAGCAGTATTCATAATAAAGTTGCTAGTAAAGGCAAGGCAATTGTTCAACAAACAATGAGAGATAATAGAGGGCAACAAGTGATGATACAAATAGTAGGAGTCTAAGAAATAAGATAGATGAGCTAAGATTACTTGCAAGTGCAGGTAATATAGATATTATTGCTATAACAGACCTGGTTCAACTTGAAAGATAAAGAAATGCCTTCTGAATGCAACATACAGGGTTATAAACTATTCCACACTGATAGGATCAACAGGAAGGGTGGTGGAGTGGCGATGTATGTCAGAGATAATTTAAATTGTGTTAGACAAGATATAAGATTAGAAACGTCAGACACAGAATCTGTTTGGCTACAGTTTCTCGAAGGTCGTGAAAAATTAATTTTGGGTGTGATTTATAGGCCCACAAACCTTGACAGGGAATGCAGTAGGCTGCAATGGGATGAAATTCATAAGGCATCTAGATATGAAAATGTTGAATTAATGGGAAATTTTAACTTTAGACAAATTGATTGGAACTATGACAGGAAATCTTGAGTCTAGTAACTTTCTTGATACGGTTCAGGACTGCTTTTTAAAACAGAACCAACTTGAGGAAACAACCTGCTTGACTTGATTCTTGCCAACAAAGAATTACTAGTTAATAATCTTGAAGTTAATGAGCTTGGGGAAAGAGATCACAAATCATTTAGTTTCAATATATCATGGAATTACCCAAAGAACTGCAATCAAGTCTCTGTCCCAGATTGCCGCTTGGCTGACTTCATGGGACTGAGAAATTACCTGGGTGGGCTAAATTGGGATGACCTTACTATGGGTAAGGTAGGTAGGATTGGTTGCCAATATGACGTGTTTCAGGGCATAGTGCTAGCTGCCCAGACAACTTTTGTTCCGAGTAGGGGAATTAGATCTAACAAAAATGATCCCAAATGGATAAACAATAGATTAAAACATCTCATTGGTCAAAAGAGAGGCATATAATAGGTGTATCAAAAGAGGGAAAGGGTAGTTAAGAAATCAATATATTCAACTAAAGAGAGAAATAAAAAATGGAATAAGAAAAGCAAAAAGGGATTACGAGGCTAAAGTTGCAAGGGATTTGAAGACTAACCCAAAACAGTTCTTTCAGGTATACAGAAGTAAGATTAGGGACAAGATAGGCCCACTTAAGAGTAACTCGGGTCAGATCACTGACAGGGATAAGGAAATGTGTGAGCTTTTCAATACCTACTTCCTCTCAGTGTTTATTCAGGAAGATACTAGTGAAATTCCAGAAATAATAAATTATGTAGAAGAGGACAATAGTAAACTATGCACTATTAGGGTAACTAGTGACATGGGACTCAGACAAATACAGAAATTAAAACCTAACAAATCCCCAGGCCCTGGTAAACTGTTTGAAAGGGTTTTAAAGGAATGTAAAGAGGAACTTAGCATCACCTTAGCTAATCTTTTCAATATATCACTACAAACTGTCATAGTGCCAGACAAGTGGAAAATGGCAAATGTAATACCTATTTACAAGGCAGGTGACAGGTCCTTAGCTTTGAACTATAGACCAATAAGCCTTACCTCTATAGTTGGTAAATTTATGGAATCAATAATTGCCAAAGCAATTCATAGCCATCTTGAAAGGCATAAATTGATTAATGAATCTCAGCACGGTTTTACAAAGGGGCGTTCCTGTCTTACGAATTTACTAACTTTCTTCACTAATATATTTGAGGAGGTAGATCATTGTATTGAATATGATATTGTGTATATGGACTTCAGTAAGGCTTTTGATAGAGTTCCACATCAGAGACTGTTGAGAAAACTTAAGGCACACAGAATAGGAGAGATTTTTTCTTGGGTAGAGGCATGGTTGACATACAGGCAACAGTGACTTTGCGTAAATGAGGAGAAATCAGAATGGGGGCACATCACAAGCAGTTGTTCAAAATTTACATAACAAAACAACATAGATGAGGGAATAATAGTGACATAAGCAAATTTGCTGATGACACCAAAATAGGCCATCCAGTTCATTCTGATAAGGACATTAGAGCACTTCAGGACAATTTAAATAGACTGATGCAGTGGTCGGAGAAGTGGCAGATGCAGTTTAATATAGACAAATGCAAAGTTCTAAATGTTGGACAGGAAAATAACCATGCCATATATAAACTAAATAATGTAGATCTTAATATTACAGATTGCAAAAAGGATTTAGGAGTTCTGGTTAACAGTGATCTGAAACCAAGGCAACAATGCATAAGTGTTCACAATAAAGCTAACAGAATCTTTGGCTTCATATCAAGAAGTATAAATAATAGAAACCCTCAGGTTCTTCAACTCTGTATATCTTTGGTTAGGCCTCATTTAGTTTATGCTGCACAGTTTTGGTCACCGTATTACAGAATGAATATAAATGCACTGGAAAACATACAAAGGAGGATGACAAAGTTGATCCCATGTATCAGAAATCTTCCCTATGAGGATAGACTGAGGGCCCTGAATCTGCACTCTCTAGAAAGGGGTAGAATTAGGGGGGATATGATTGACGTGTATAAATGAAAAACAGGAATTAATAAAGGAGGTGTAAATAGTGTCCAAAAAATATCTAGGAGTGACAGGACTCGCAGCAATGGTTTTAAATTTGAAAAATTCAGATTCAGGAAGGATATAGGAAAGCACTGGTTTGGTAAGAGTTGTAGATGAGTGGAACAAACTCCTGAGTACCATCATAGAAGCTAAGATGTTGTGTAGTTTTAAAAATAGGTTGGAAAAATACATGAGTGGGTGTGGGTGGGTCTGAGTTTGGCCTGACTGGCTTGTGCTACTAGGTCAGATGCCGTGCTCCGCCCTTAAGTGAATGTGACTGACCTGACTAGGTCAAGGCATTGGCTTAAGCCGGTGGGAGAACTGACCCTGCCTCACATGAGCCAGTAGGCCTGTTGCAGTGTTCCTTCTTTCTTATGTTCTAAAGCATGCAATAAGACTAGTTCCAGAGCTAAGAGTTATAAGCTGCAAAGAGGCTTAAGGAATTGAATCTAACACTCTTAGAGGTCAGAAGGATCAGGGGAGACATGATAGCAACAAACAAAATACTTGGTAGAATTGATAGGGCAGACAGGACAGGATGTTTGAGTGATGGGGAACAGTATTTGTGAGGGCATAGCTGAAGGTTACAGACACCGGTGAGTCACAAGGATATGATAGGTACGATAGGGCCCACGAGGCCAGGAAAAAGTTAATCTGGCAAGCAGTAAGTTGAGAGGTGGGGCCAGGACCTAAGATTCAACCTTGGAATCACATTTAGGTGAGCATGTATAGGTGAGTATACACGCATGCACATGCACTAACAAACAAACCCCAGGTGCTTCTTTTAAGTTCAAAATTAACTAGATTAGAGCATTATTTAAAGAGATCTGATCTTTGTAATCAAAATGAGCCTAGATCTGTAACAAAATTTATTATGCAGGCATAATTTTGTATTTCATGCAAGATTTCAGGTACATCTTGCTATTTCTACTTACACTTAGGTCACTACACATGCATGTACAAGCATATATATACACATTCCCCCTTTGGGTTTTCTTCTATTTTCTTACTGGTTCTTGTTCTTGTTTATTTCCTCTTATCTCTATGGGAAAGTGGAACAGAATTCTTCCTCCATAAGCTATGCGTGTCATAAGAGGTGACTAAAATGCTGGGAGCAAGGGGCTAGTAACTCCTTCTCCTGTATACATTACTAAAGTTAAAAAGAGAAACTTTTGTTTTTCTTTTTGGGCCACCCCTGCCTTGGTGGGATATAGCTGGTTTGTTTAAAAAAAAAACTGTATTTGTTGATTTTAGATTCTAGGGGGCATAACCTTGCAAATTTGTGCATATGGTGGTATTGGTAATAATTTTTTGTTTTTGTTTTATTTTTGGAATTTTGGTTTGTCTTGCAGTACAGGAAGCTCTTTAACAAAAATCTTTTCTAACAATGATTTAAGAATAGGACAGTGGTACCTCGTGATATGAACAGCTGAAAACTCGAACAATTATGCAAATGTATTTATGTAAGTGCTTTTGTGAGTGTATTTTTGGGAGTCTGAAATGGATTAATCTAATTCACATTATTCCTTATAGGAACAAATTCGTTTGGTATTGGCACTCTTAACAGCCTTCAAGAACAAATTAAGTTCGTATCCCGAGGTACCACTGTACTTCAAAATATTTTTTTTTTTAATTTCACATATGCTTGCACTGAGACTGCTCTGTTGTTTATAGTTGCATCAAACACTAGTTTGGATGTTATTGCTGGTCAGTTTTGTTTTTCTGCATGCTGATTCTATACTTCACACCTTGAACTTTGAAGGTCAAGTGCATTAGATAGATATATGAATAATTGTAAGACTAAATTTGTTTACTTTTAACACTAAATCTTTGTTAGATATGTTGAAGTGGAAGCATGAAAAGATTTATGCAACTATTTTATTAATAAAAACCATCTTCTCAGGAAAAGGAACTAGAGGACGACTTTGACCCTAACGCCCATGATGTTGCAATGTCACATATGTTTGGTGATGATTACTATGAAGCTGATGAGGGCAACACTGCTAAGCCAGTATTTAGTGATGATGAAGATATTATAAGTAAGTGTGCACTTACATATTTTCAATATTGTAGCAATTCAGTGAAAGGAAGACGCTTATAGAAGAGGTTAAAGAGGTAAATAATCAAAGGTTATTGTATGTATAAAAAGAAATGCAGCATCATTGAAGCTAATACCTTTATTTTTTTTTTTAACACACTGACTGTCACCTACTGAGGAAGGGTGACTCAAAAAATAAGAAATGAAAGCTTTTTCTTCTTTATTCATTTAGTAATTCATACAGGAGAAGGGGCTACTATTCCCATTGCTCCTTGCATTTTAGTGGCCTCTTACCACACGCATGGTTGATGGAGGAAGAATTCTTTTGCTGAGAATAAGAAAAAGCTTTAGAGTGAGATTAATAAGTTAAGAAAGATTAGGGAACAAATTGATTTGACAGTTAAAAATAAAAGAGAGAGTTATTAGATGGAGGGAATACTTGCAGAAACTGCTAAATGTTGATGAAGATAGGGAAGTTGTGATTTTGTGCATTGGCCAAAGAAGTGAAATAGAGCCAGATGTTATTGTAAGGAAGGTACATGAAGCTGTGGGTAGAATGAAAGGGGGGTAGAGCAGCTGTGATTGATGGGATCAAGAAAGAAATGTTAAAAGCAGGTGGGGATATAGTTTTGGAATGATTGGTGTTTTATTTAATAAATGTATAAGAGGGGAAGGTACCTGAGGAATGGCAGAGAGCATGCATAGTTCCATTGTATAAGGGCACAGGGGACAAAAGAGAGTACAAGAATTTTAGGGGAATAAGCCTGTTGAGTATACCTGGTAAGGTAGTTATTATTGAAAGAAGAAGAGTAAGACGGAAAACAGGATCGCAGATGAACAGAGAGGCTTTAGAAAGGGTAGAGGGTATGTGTAGCCCAGTATTTACAGTGAAGCATGTAAGTAAACAGTATTTAGATATGAGTGTAGATATAGTGTGTAGAATGGGTGGTAGGTTACTGAAAGCAGTTTGGAGTTTTTACGAGGATAGTGAGGCTCGGATTAGGGTAAGTAGGAGAGAGGGAGATTATTTCTCAGTAAAAGTAGGCCTTAGACAGAGATGAGTAATGTTACAATGGTTGTTCAATATATTTAGAGATAAGGTTGTAAGAGAAATGAAAGCTCAGGTGTTGGCATGAGGTGTGGGATTGAAAGATAAGGAATCTAACAAAGTGGGAGTTGTCACAGTTGCTTTTTGCTGATGACACTATGGTTTTGGGAGATTCTGAAGAGAAGTTGCAGAGGTTGGTGGACGAATTTGGGAAGGTGTACAATTGAAAGCGAACATAGGAAAGAGCAGGGTGATGAGAATAACAAAAAAAATTAGGTAATGAAAGATTGGATGTCACATAGGAGGGATGGAGTATGGGAAAAGTGAATGTGTTCAGATATTTGGGAGTTGACTTGTCAGCAGATGGGTTTATGAAGACAAGGTGAACCATAGAAACAATGCGAAGATTTTTTTCTTAACGCATTGGCTATTTCTTACCAAGGGAGGGTGAGCCAAAAACGAAGAAACACTTTCATCATCATTCACTCCATCACTGTCTTGCCAGAGGCACACCTACACTACAGTTGAAAAACTGCAACATCATCACCCCTCCTTCAGAGCACATCAACTGTGCTTCCCACTTCCAGGACTCAAGTCCATGTGCTGGTTTCCCTGAATCCCTTCATGTTCCTCTGCTCACACCCCAACAGCACTTCAAGTCATAAAAACCATTCGTCTTCACTCAATCCAATCTAACACGCTCATGCACATCTGCTGGAAGTCCAAACCCCTGGCATACAAAACCTTCTTTACTACCTCTCTCCAACCTTTCCTAGGTCGACCCCTTCCCTGCCTTCCTTCCTCAACGGATTTATACACACTCCAAGCCATTTTGTTTTGTTCCATCCTCTCTAAATGTCTGAACCACCTCAACAACCCCTCTTCAGCCCTCTGAATAATACTTTTAGTAACCTCGCACCTCCTCATTGCTGCTGCTGCTGCTGCTGCTGCTGCTGCTGCTGCTGCTGCTGCTGCTGCTGCTGCTTTCTGCTGCGCTGCTGCTGCTGGCTGCTGCTGCTGCTGCTGCTGCTGCTGCTGCTGCTGCTGCTGCTGCTGCTGCTGCTGCTGCTGCTGCTGCTGCTGCTGCTGCTGCTGCTGCTGCTGCTGCTGCTGCTCTGCTGCTGCTGCTGCTGCTGCTGCTGCTGCTGCTGCTGCTGCTGCTGCTGCTGCTGCTGCTGCTGCTGCTGCTGCTGCTGCTGCTGCGCTGCTGCTGCTGCTGCTGCTGCTGCTGCTGCTGCTGCTGCTGCTGCTGCTGCTGCTGCTGCTGCTGCTGCTGCTGCTGCTGCTGCTTGCTGCTGCTGCTGCTGCTGCTGCTGCTGCTGCTGCTGCTGCTGCTGCTGCTGCTGCTGCTGCTGCTGCTGCTGCTGCTGCTGCTGCTGCCTGCTGCTGCTGCTGCTGCTGCTGCTGCTGCTGCTGCTGCTGCTGCTGCTGCTGCTGCTGCTGCTGCTGCTGCTGCTGCTGCTGCTGCTGCTGCTGCTGCTGCTGCTGCTGCTGCTGCTGCTGCTGCTGCTGCTGCTGCTGATAATGCTGCTGCTGATAATGCTGCTGCTGATAATGCTGCTGCTGATAATGCTGCTGCTGATAATGCTGCTGCTGATAATGCTGCTGCTGATAATGCTGCTGCTGATAATGCTGCTGCTGATAATGCTGCTGCTGATAATGCTGCTGCTGATAATGCTGCTGCTGATAATGCTGCTGCTGATAATGCTGCTGCTGATGATGCTGCTGCTGATGATGCTGCTGCTGATGATGATAATGCTGCTGCTGATGATGATAATGCTGCTGCTGATGATGATGCTGCTGCTGATGATGATGATGATAATGCTGCTGATGATGATGATGATAATGCTGCTGATGATGATGATGATAATGCTGCTAATGCTAATACTACTACCACCACCACCTCTTCCTGCTTATATATACCCCTTCCTGCTCTACCTCTCGTTAGTGTGACTTTGTAAATGGTCCAAGTCGGACCGAAACGTCGTCATAACCTCCTCTCTTCTATGTGCGGGTTATTTGTGTATCATTCCAGTCACGGTATTGTGCCTTTTTTTGTTATTTATGGATTCTCTACACTATATCCACTCTGCCTAGCTCCACTTCTCCAGTAATATCATGCAATGAGAAACTGTAATATAATGAAAGATCCTGTAAATAAATGTTAGAATACATGAACAAACAATAGATATAAAAAAATTTTGTTTGTAGTGAATAGTTTGTAATAAATTTCTGTAAATGGTGCAGTGTTGATTTGCCATGCAGGTATTATCATGTACAAACATAGAATTTAGTGTTAGACATTGAAAGCCAAAAAAAAAAAATTATGAAAAATATGCATAATTACCTAAAATAAAAATAAAAAACTATTGCTTGAATCATGATGATGTTGCCATTACAGGGTAATGTTTCACTAATTTTAACACTTCTCAAATTAGTAAGTTTTGGGTCTTTTTTTTTTTTTTCTTATTTATTGAGAAAAAGAACTTTCAATGGTAAAAAGAAAAGATTTTTTTCTTTTAAAAATTCTGCCCCAGCCCATTAAGTGGAAAACTGGTCACCTGTATATTTCTGGCAGTGGAAGATTGCATGCTGTAGGTTATGTACTGTATCATGAGGTTCTGTACAATAGAGGGGAATGTATGAGAGTATAGTTTTACTAACGCTCTTATATGGGTGTGAAGCATGGGTGATGAATGTTGCAGCGAGGAGAAGGCTGGAGGCAGTGGAGATGTCATGTCTGAGAGCAATGTGTGGTGTGAATATAATGCAGAGAATTCGTAGTTTGGAAGTTAGGAGGAGGTGCGGGATTTCCAAAACTGTTGTCCAGAGGGCTGAGGAAGGGTTGTTGAGGTGGTTCGGACATGTGGAGAGAATAGAGCGAAACAGAATAACTTCAAGAGTGTATCAGTCTGTAGTGGAAGGGAGGTGGGGTAGGGGTCGGCCTAGGAAAGGTTGGAGGGAGGGGGTAAAGGAGGTTTTGTGTGCGAGGGGCTTGGACTTCCAGCAGGCATGCGTGAGCGTGTTTGATAGGAGTGAATGGAGACAAATGGTTTTTAATACTTGACGTGCTGTTGGAGTGTGAGCAAAGTAACATTTATGAAGGGGTTCAGGGAAACCGGCAGGCCGGACTTGAGTCCTGGAGATGGGAAGTACAGTGCCTGCACTCTGAAGGAGGGGTGTTAATGTTGCAGTTTAAAAACTGTAGTGTAAAGCACCTTTCTGGCAAGACAGTGATGGAGTGAATGATGGTGAAAGTTTTTCATTTTTGGGCCACCCTGCCTTGGTGGGAATCGGCCAGTGTGATAATAAAAAAAAATAAAAAAATAATAATAATAATAATAATAATAGTATTTAATCAGGAGCAAGGGCCTAGTAACCCCTTCTTCTGTATACATTACTAAATTTAAGAAGGGAAACTTTCATTTTTCTTTTTTAGGTCACCCTGCTTTGGTGGGAGATGGCCGGTGCGTTAATTGAATGTTTTTTTTTTCTCAGCGAACTGGCCATGTCCCACTGAGGCAGGATAACCTAAAAAGAAAAATGAGTTCCCCTTTTTAAATTTAGTAATGTATACAGGAGAAGGGGTTACTAGCCCATTGCTCCCAGCATTTTAGTTGCCTCTCACGACAAGCATGGCTTATGGGCTTATGGAGGAAGAATTCTATTCCACTTCCCCATGGAGAAGTATTAGTATTATTATAATTATATAGGTAGGTGCATTGTGGATTGCAATAAATTAGTACAGTTCTTTAAGGAAATCTCTTAAAATTATTTTGAAAACTTTCAGAGAACTACGATGACTGGATGGTGAAGCAAGGTGCTGCTGATGTTGCTGGTGATGTTGACGATGGAGAGGAAGGTGACAATGAGAATGCTGAGTACTATGGAGAGAATTTCAATGTTAGCATTTTTTCTTATATTGACAAACTTGTTATTAAAGTTAAGGAAGCCTAGGGAACAAATGGATTTAATAGTTAAAAAACAGAAGGGAGTTATTAGACGGGACATTGGAGGTATTGGGAAGATGGGAGGGAATATTTTGAGGATCTGTTAAATGTTGATGAAGGGAGGGGAGGCAGTGATTTCATGCATTGGCTAAGGAGGTATTACATATTTTAGGGGTAAGGAAGAGCTGAATGTGAGTGTGGGGATGGTGCATGAGGCTGCGGGTGAAATGAAAGAGGGTAAAGCAGGTGGGATTGATGGGATAAAGACAGAAATGTTAAAAGCAGGTGAGGGATATAATTTTGAAGTGGTTTGTGCTTTTAACTTTACCTTTGATATACCTTTGAAAAGTTTTGAGAGTCTCACTACTCTCAGAGCCTGGCATAGACCAGGCTTGTCTGGTGCATGCCTGGTCAACCAGGCTGTTGCTGCTGGAGGCCCACTGCCTCACATATCCATCACAGCCTGGTTGATCTGATGAAGATACTTGTCCAGTTTCCTCTTCTACACTTGTTCCAGCCATGTTTCTGATATCTTCTGGTAAGATGTTGAATAGTCTGGGACCCCGAATGTTGATGCAGTGTTCCCTTTTTGTCCCAACTGCACCCCCTGCTCCTCACTGGGTTTATTTTGCACTTCCTCCCATATCTCTCACTCCAGTATATTGTTATGGCAGTGTGCAGATTTGGGACCAGGCCCTCGAGTTCTTTCCAGGTATATATTATCATGTATCTTTCTCTCCTCTGCTCCAGTGAGAACATGTTCAAGACTTAAAGGCATTCCCAGTAATTTAAGTGCTTTACTGGCTCAGTGTGAGCCATAAATGATCTCTGTATTTGTTCAAGCTCTGATATTTCTCCTGCTTTGAATGGGGCCGTCAGCACTGAGCAATATTCTAAGTGAGGAAGCACTAGCGATTTGAAGAGTGTCACCATTGGCATTATTTCCCTTGTTTTAAGTTCTCAATACTCGCCCCGTCATCTTCCTGGCTGTCGTGATCTTTGTTTTGTTATGGTCTTTAAAAGAAAGGTCAGCTGACATAATTATTCCCAGGTCTTTTATGTGTTCCTTTCGTTCCGCTTGGTGACCCTTTTGAGTTTTGTATATAGTGTTCCTTTTGAGTTTTTCATTCTTTCCATACCTAAGCAGCTGGAACTTATCACCATTGAACATAATGTTGTTCTCTTCTACCCACTGGAAAACCTTGCTTATGTCTTCCTGTAATTTTTCAGTGTCCTCTACCATAGTGACTGTCATGTTAACCAAACCATACCCCCGGCCGGGATTGAACCCGCGGTCATAGAGTCTCAAAACTCCAGCCCGTCGCGTTACCCACTAGACCAGCTACCCACGGGCTGGAGTTTTGAGACTCTATGACCGCGGGTTCAATCCCGGCCGGGGGTATGGTTTGTTTGCAATCGTGTCATTACGATTTCTTGAGGACTGTCATGTTTATTTTAGTGTCATCTGCAAATGATGATACAAAAGTGTGACGAGTATTTTTATCTACGTCTGGTATGAAGATGAGAAACAGCAGAGGTGCTAGGACAGTGCCTTGGGGCACTGAGCTTTTTACCTCGCAGATGCTGAATCTTGCTCTGTGCAAAATAAAAGAGTATATAAGAAGTTTGTTGAGTATGCCAGGTAAAGTGTATGGTAGTTGTTATTGAAGGGATTAAGGGTAAGACAGCTAGCAAGATTGCAGATGAATAAGGTTTTAAGAGGGTAGGGGATGTGTAGACCAAGTGTTTATATTGAAGCATAATCCTCTTCTCGAATTCCCTCAGATTAAACACTTATCTCTCTTTCTTTTTTCTCTCTCTCCGTACCTTTGATATCCTTTCGAGATTCAAGTCTCTACTCTTGAGCTACTACTTAGCTGTGATTCTCTTAGTCACACCCAAAAAAAATCTTTTAATTTGCTGTGTAACAGAAAATGAAGTATATTTATAAAATGTGTAAATTTAACCAAAACTGGTTAGTGTTGGCTGGAAACATAATTTAATACTATATATATTTATTCTGCAGATGGATGCTGATTATGACCCCAGTAAAGCTAAAAAGGAACTGCAGAAGGAAATGATTGTAGCTAGTGGTAAAAAATGCAGAAGGAAATCTAAATTTGCCAAGGCTTTAGCTAAAAAGAAGCCTGTTTTTAATCCTCTAGAGAAAAAATTTGATGCTTATTTTGAGGAATATTATCAGTTAGATTTTGAAGATATTGTTGGAGATATACCATGCAGATTTAAGTACAGAAAAGTAGAAAGTAATGACTTTGGACTTTCAACTGAAGAGGTAAGTAATTCAAAGTTAAGTCTTCATTTTTGTTATTCTTTTTCCCATTTGCATGGGGTGAGCAAGTTTCAGAGTTGTCTTTATCATCATTGTTAGTCTATTTCCCATTTACATGGAGTGAAAAAAAAATATTCAAACTTATTGGCATGATGGGAAATTGTGTATTACCTCACACTAGCACAACATCCACAGTAGTCAAGTATTGTCATATATGAAGTACAGTAGAATCCCCATGTCCACTGATTTGGCATCCACGATTTCAGTTATCTTGATTTACTGTGGCCCAAAAATACCTCTTAATTTTGCATAATAATAGACCCAAAGTGCAAAAGTAGAAAAGCTGGCAGTTCTTCAAAGCCTAAGGAAAGCCATGAAGTGATTCCCATATATGAAAAGTGATAATTCTCCACTTTTTGTGCACAATTTATCATACCTTGTATATATCATGTGCATAATTATCATACCTTGTATATATCATGTGCATAATTTATCATACCTTGCTATATCATACCTTGTATACTTATTTATCCTCTTTTTCATAAAATATGTATTACTTATTACCAAGCCTCTTTCTACACATAGCTCAATTAAAGGCTCCCCATTTTCATTTACCCCTGGCACCCCAGATTTACCTACTACTCCCTCCACAACATTTTTACCCACTTCAGTATTGAAATTCCCAATCACAAGTACTCTCACACTTGGTTCAAAACTCCCCACACGTTCACTCAACATTTCCCAAAATCTCTCTCTCTCCTCTACACTTCTATCTTCTCCAGGTGCATTTACGCTTACTATAACCCACTTTTCACATCCAACCTTTATTTTACTCCACATAATCCTTGAATTAATACATTTATAGTCCCTCTTTTCCTGCCATAGCTTATCCTTCAACATTATTGCTACTCCTTTAGCTCTAACTCTATTTGGAGCGACAGGGGTCCATTGACTCTCAAGTTGTTCCCAGTGTCATTCAAAAACAACGAAAAGTAACCCCAGATAAGGACTTGGTACCTGAAGTCTTTATGGAAGGGGTTTCCCCTTCCAAACAATAGTGTACACCTTCCTCCTATCCCCTCCTCCCATCTTCCATCCACCCAGAAGTCTTCAGTAAAGGTAAGTGCAATGTTATTATCATTTTATATATGTATGTACTTGATTTCTCATTGTTTTCTGTATGTAAATCTTATTTAATTGGAAAAAAAAAATATTTTCGGGTGTCTGGAATGGATTAATTTTATTTCCATTATTTCTTACGGGGAAAATGGTTTTGCCATTCGGCAATTTCGTCATTCGGCAGACACACTGGTACAGATTAATCACGAAACTTGAGGGACCACTGTATTAGTCAGAGGGCTGAAGAGAGATGGTTTGGTCATTCAGAGAGATGAAGCAAAATAGGATGACTTGGAAGGTGTATAAATCTGTAGTGGAGGGGAGGAGGGGTAGGGGTCGTCCTAGGAAAGGATGAAGGGAGGGGGGTAAAAGAGGTTCTGTGTGCAAGGGGCTTGGACATACAGCAGGCAGGTGTGAGCATGTTAGATAGGAGTGAATGGAGACAAATGGTTTTTTGGGACCTGGTGAGCTGTTGGAGTGTGAGCAGGGTATTATCTTTTGAAGGGATTCAAGGAAACTGGTTAGCTGGACTTGAGTCTTGGAGGTGGGAAGTACAGTGCCTGCACTTTAAAGAAGGGGGTTTGGGATATTGGCTGTTTGGAGTGAAATGTAAATGGTCATATCTGAGTGCCTCTGCAAAGACAGTGATTATGTGTGAATGATGGTGAAAGTACTGAATGTTGGTGAAAGCATTTTCTGGTGGGAAACGGCTGGTGTTAAAAAAAATAATAATAATAATAATTGTTTTGGGGCACTTTAATTTTCAAGATAATGTAAGAAATATGTTACATATCATATAAAGAAAATATATACAGTCATAGCAAAACAAATAAACATAATTGTGAGGTGTGGTAGATGTGCAAGCTACCACACCTAATTTCCTACAATAAATACTACTCACTCCATGGGGAAGTGGAACAGAATTCTTCCTCCGTAAGCCATGCGTGTTGTAAGAGGCGACTAAAATGCCGGGAGCAAGGGGCTAGTAACCCCTTCTCCTGTATATATTACTAAATTTAAAAAGAGAAACTTTAGTTTTTTCTTTTGGGCCACCCCGCCTCGGTGGGATACGGCTGGTATGTTGAAAGAAGAAGAAATACTACTCACCTCTCACCCTACATTAAGCCTACAAATATCTTAAAGTAATTAATGAGTGTACTTTTTATTGTTTTTTATGCCTTGTTCTATTGCTAACTTAATATATGATAGTGTAAACATGTTATCAGGCATTTATATGCATTTAAAAGTGCAAAGGGGTGATTTGTGTTACGGCGGTATCCTGGAACCTAACCCACCGTATAAGTGGGGCCTCTCCTGTATTTTAAATATGAAATTTATTTTGTTAATCTATTTCCTCATGTTTTAATAGATCCTGGCTGCTCAAGACAGAGAACTCAATAGGTGGTATTCACTGAAGAAACTTTTGAAACATAACCGAACATTTAAAGAAGAGCATCTTGACCGCTGTAGATACAAGAATCGCTCCTCACTACCCCATGTAAAGCAGAAGATTCTTCCAAGTTTGTTTGTTGAGTAAGTTGATTTAGAGTATTATGTTGTTGAAATAATTTTGTTAAATTATTATTATCTTAAATCACCTAGAGAATAGAAAGTAATCACAATTTGGTGAAGAAAGAGAAAAGTAACTTCATTTCATTGTATCAAAACCCTTCACTAAATCAAGGTAACCCCCTCTTAATGGATATTATGTTAAAAGTCATTAGACAGCTTTGGTTATCCCAGTTACCTAGTTTTTGGTGATAACTTTGACGGTATGTTGAGTCAGTGTTCTTCAAAATAGACTTTAGTTAATATTTTTTTGTACAGTAGTCCACCACTTGTGCATCGAGGCATCACGTTACCATTACATCCCAATCGAAATTTTGCATTCTATTTCCAACATTCAGTATAAATGACCATTTTTTGTGCTGCTGGGATAATTTCATCAATCACTATTCAGTCACTGAATTATAAAAATTATTTTTCCTTCTTATTGCATGCATTCATACTGTGTGTGTTTTATGCATGTATTGAGAGCTCCTGTTTGTTTAGTAGAGATTTGTCAAGAACCATGGAGTTAGATTGAATTACAAGATAACTTTTAGTCACTTTTTAAATAAATGCATTCATGCTGTGTGCACAGTCATTCTCTGCATATATAGAAAGCTCATATTTATTTAGTAGAGATTGGTCAAGAGCCACAATTGAAAACCAAGAAGTTCGCAGCACAACAACTTGAGAGATTTTGAGCTGGCTGGCCCCACACACAAATTCTCACCAGTACTTACCAAGATAGAGGCATGAAGTTGAATGTCAGTGACCAACTGATGGCAACATTGGCAACTACCTTGCACTCTACTCTTTTTTTTTTTTCCTTGGGTTTTATAAATTTTAATTTTCCAGTAACTTTTGTAACGTGTATCCACCCATTGTATGTAACACTATACGTTTACTATTTGTGTCATCAGTACATTATTTACTAAACTTGTTTACACAACAACAAACACAGGTACAAATGTTACACATTACTATTCTAATATTTACATATTTATATAGAGGCATTGGGCATGTTCTTAGAACTGTTGCAGTCTGTGGAACTCTTTGAAATATGGCTTCATACACAGCAGTGTTTTACACTCCTCACACATAAAATTAATGTCTGTGCTTTTCTGGCGTCTTGTGTATGCACAAACATAACATTTCGGAGCCCATTTCTTCTTGTCTGTAGCAGAAATTGTCGTTAAGTGATTACCTTGCCTTAAACGAGAGGGTAGTTGGTGATCAGTTCAGGGTCACAGGTGTTGTTACCTGGTATATGCATATTATTTGCCTGATGACAGACAAAACAAAGTGGGTATATGGTGGTCTTCTGTTGCTGGTCCTTATCTGGTATATAATGTATGCATTGAAATGGCTACGAGATGAAAGAGTTGTACCACTTATAACTCATGTGAGCACAGCAGATCTAATCTGCATGTCACATTTGTCCATCAAACATATATTGATGGCATGATCAATGAGTAAAGGCTTTACTTTGCAATCCCCACTAGCATTGCTATACAACATTAGAGTTAGCCTGTCTTTCATAGGCTTGTGTCTGGGAGTGCCTTTTCCTCCTGAGTAATGTAGGTCCTGTGTGGGATTTTCTTCCAAAACTGGCCTGTTTCATCACAATTAAACATTTGTTGGGGTTTTAATTTTTAAGTGTCTATGTACTCCTTAAAGTCCTGCACATATTTTTCAGCCACTTTTTTGTCAGAACTGGCAGCCTCACCTTGCCTTATCACATTGTGTATGCCACTACAATTCTTAAATCTCTCAAACCTGCCTTTGCTGGCCTTAACTTCATCAACAGCACCACTATTTGGAGGCATTTTCATGCAACTGCCTTGCCTTTTCACATATTATTGACTGAGAAATACTATCTCCTGATAATTGTTTCTCATTTATCAACAACAACAGTCTCTCCACATCTTCAAGTATTTGCGATCTCTGTTTTGTAAGCACACATGCACCTTTTGCAACAACAGCTTCTTTGATTGTCTTTTTGTTGCACAAGATAGTAGTGATGGTTGAATGGGGTTTGTTGTATAACCTTTCCAACTCCGAGATACGCACTCCACTCTCATACTTTTCTATTATCTCCTTTTTTAATTCGATAGTACACCTTGTCCTTTTTACCACAGAGATGGCACTAGAAGCTTTCTTTGGGCCCACGATGGCTTATTTAGCAGTTACAAGCACTAAAAACAATGGAATACAAAATATATCGCATGCACACGTGGACTCGTCCTCAGTGGCTTGTAAACATTGGCACACTGGCTGGGATACGAGGTGACTGGCCGGGCCCGCTCAGGGCGCCATGCAGACACGTTCGGGACAAAAGCTCCTAACCGAGTTTTTAGGTGTTATCCAAGCCAATTTTCTTACACCAAAGTGAGGCGTTATCCGATACAGGTGTTAACTGTACATAAAAACATACCTAATCTTGTTTATCATGGGGTTTCTGTTAGGCCTTGAAAAGTGTAGCATACTTAACAGTAGGATAAATCTGTTGACTGGGATAAGATCACTGAAGGCAGTCAGTGGACCAGTATGATTGAATATTGTGCTTATACACATGTGGCATGAGCATTGTCATGGCAAAGAAGTGATACATCTCAGCCACAGTTGTGTCCCACCGGTGTAGTCATGATTGTGGTGTAGCCATCATGTTTTCCATTGTATACTCAGAGTATCTGTTGGTTTCCCTCACAGTAATTCCCGTCGGGGATTAATCGAAAATTAGTTCAAAGAATTGAAGTTCACTGGCATTGTACCCTGGAGTACACTTAGGCAGGATTCCACTGTGGGTGTTAACAGATTCATGGGGACTGGGCATAAAATTTGCATGTTCCTGCCAAACCCAGATGCAGTCTGGTAGTGGATGCTGAATATTAGTAGCTGGTTGTGTGTGGGTAGTGGAGGTAGCCATGTGTTATTGAGATAAGATAAGATTTCGTTTGGATTTTTAACCCCGGAGGGTTAGCCACCCAGGATAACCCAAGTAAGTCAGTGCGTCATCAAGGACTGTCTAACTTATTTCCATTGGGATCATCAATCTTGTCCCCCCAGGATGCAACTCACACCAGTCGACTAACACCCAGCTACCTATTTGCTGCTAGGTGAACAGGACAATAGGTGTAAGGAAACGTGTCGGGGCCCTCCGTGTGTGAAGCAAGAGCTTTAGCCACCAGGCCACCGGGTGTTGACTATGGGCCATGGCTCCCAGCCTGAGTGGCCACTGCTGCCGCACCCTTTGTGTCACCACCTACTGCCACATGCGATCTGTCATCCATCCTAAGTGATGTAACTTGATCATCACTATTACTGTGTGTTGCTGGTGTTTGGTCCTGGGATGTACTCCAACCCCTTGAAATAACAAATGGCACACTACCAGACTGCATGCAGTGCTGTATAAATGATGCTTCACATGTGAATATTGTTCACCACTGTCACTGCTAGAGTGGTCATTGATAGCTAGGAAATCAAAATCCATATTATAATCACCATTGCTCATACCAGAGCCCAGCCCAAGTCAGGCTGAAACAGTGGTGTAGACTTCTCTCTCCTGTGTGCGGGTTATTTGTGTATTGTGTATGAGCTTTCGCTTACGGTGTTGTGAAAGTAAACATGTTTCAGATGGACCAGCCAGAGAAGTGGATGGTTGTGGGTCATGGGGGTTTTAAACGTTGTTTTCGGCATCCTGAGTGTTACTTTCGGTCATTAAATGTTCATAACCATAGAATTCATCATCACTTCCATATTCCTCATTGTTAGAACTGTTTCTTGGGAAAAGATGATCAGTTCATTTTGGAGTGAGTTTTCTGACTGCACTGCATGGGGAACAGTGTGTACTAAGTATGGCTATCCCACAATGCACTGCAGGGGCCCTGATTTTTTTGTATACTGCACACACTAATCATACAGACCCATTCTCTAATATGTAGGCCTACCAGATCTCTCATGCTAAATTTGAGCTGGTAGAATTTACACACACTTCTGTGTCAGGGACCTTGAGCTCAGTGATGTAGTTCTATGTGACAGACAAAGGGGTTAAGCATACAAGTTGGCCATTGTCCAGCCAGATTTTTTGTTCATTTTATCTGATATCTACTTTATAGAGGTTCTTTTTATTGAGAGTTTACTGTATATTTTTATTTAGAATTTGGGCAATAAATATGCATTTCTAGAACAAGCAGTGACATCCATAACCAACCTGTCTGTACTCTATTTCAAGTGCAGGAAGATGCATATGCTGTATATAAATTGGTGTATGGAGGCTACATTGCATCATTTGTTTAGTTCCTTTTTTATATTAATCCATTATTTATATGGTACTGTAAATCTTTTTAATATAAAACACTTAAATAATTATATTTGCAGAGATCCAGATGAGCTTCAGATAAATGAGCAAGAGAAAAAGAAGTTGAAAAATCAAGAAAAAAAATTGAGAAAACGACAGCGACTGCAAGAAAATCAAGAAAATATAGTTGAGGGCAACAACAATGATCATCTTTCAATCTCTAATGAAGCTGCTTCTGGGAAATTGCTTAAGATAAAGACAGACTCAGGACAAGATGAAATGAACGTTGCAGTGAGTCCACAATCTAAAAGCATAAAGGCTAAAAATAAAAAACAGTCCCCAAAAGGTGGAGATAGGCAGTCATGTAAGAAAAAGAGGAAAAATCCCAAAGCAGATGAACCTGACACTGTTGAAAATTTACAGAAAGCAGATAGTCCTTCTTTTAACTCCAACAAAATTAAAGAGGAAAATACTGCTAAAGAAGGCAGTTTAAAACTGCCGAAGATGATAAAGGAAGATGGTGTTATAGGTAACTCAGAGAGCACATATAACTCTTCCATGCCTGAAAAGAGCAGTATAATTATCAGCACTAAGAAATTAAAAGGTAATTCTGAAGTTAATGAGTGTACTCTTTTAGAAGGGACAAAGATGAAAAATGTCATAGATGGAGTTTATAATTTACTGAAGGTTGAGAACACAGATGATCAACCAAATTTGTGTGGATCCACAGCAATAAATAAGAAGAAAAGGAAAACAAAAGGGAGTCGAG